AGCGGATTAAGAAATACAAACTTCCAACAGAGTCAATAATATAATAACTATGTACAGTGACAGAGGGTTACTAGACTTGTGATCATTTCATAATTTGTATAAATGTTGAATCACTATATGTACACCTGAAACTCATCTAATGTTGTATGTCAACTATAATTAAGAGTGCATTTTTTCATTGGAAAAAAGTATACTGAACTTTAAACTGTAGTGCTATACCTCTAAATTATTATCATAATAAGGAAAAAAGAAAACTCTAGCCCTAGCTCCAATGTTTTTGTTGTATGTGAAAAACAAATGAGGAGCCTTTGCAATCTTTGGCCCATACTCTTTAACCCAAATTGTAAGTGTCATTAAATGGATCTCTCAGTGAAAATCAAGAAGAAGACTAAAAAGATGCTTTCAAATGCTCACGATATGGTAATAAAAACCCACAAGAGGCCCACATAGCTCTCGTGTCCGCAGGCACGTGGACTTCTGAGCCCAGTTGGTGGGTCACTGGCAAGGCAAATTCGTGACTTCCAAGCGAACATTTCTTCCCAGTAGAAGCAACAGGAAACCCTATGGATGAAAACCTTCCCCCTAAAGAGTCCTACTTGCTCAAGGGGTATGGTGGGGGTTGTTAGAATTTTCGAGGAGTCCCCAGGATGAGGGGCGGAACCTCAGACTTCAAGTTTTACAGACCTGGGTTCTCACAGTTTGATTTCCACATGGTGACTCTGTGTAAAACTTAGCTTACCTGGGACCTCAGTTTCCTCATCTGTAAAATGAAGATAATATTGCTAACCTTCCGTGGTTGCTATGAGGATAAAATGAGGTAAATAAATGTGAGATGCTGGGCATCATGCCTGGCTCATCTCTTCTAGCAAAGTGTACTGTATAAAATGATGTATTCATTCAACAAATGCTACTGCCAGGTAAAGTGCCAGAGAAGGCAGGGTGGACAAAACAGAGCAGCCCCTACCCTTTGGAGCTCACAGACTCATAGGGGCAGACAGACAGCCATGGTGTCATCAGATGAATAAAGAATTACAAACTGTGCTCAATGCCGAGGGGAAAAAGTCCAAAAAACGAAGACAGCATAGAACCAGGAGCACCTGATCTGGTCACTTTTTAACCCAAGTGAGGAGACTACAGGTGGGAGAAAATGTTTTTGTTTTTCTTTTCATGGCATGAGGAGCCTTCCTACATACAATATGCCGAACATTTTGCAATGTTCGTGATTGAGGTTTTCATATAATCCTTTCACCAGGTCCTAAGCAGGGATTCTGACCCCCCTTTAACAGAAGTGGAAACTAAGATCTAGAGAGGTTATATAATTGCCTCTAAGCCAGGCAGCTCACTGATAGCAAACACAGAGGTTAAACAAAATCCAGAGGTCTTTTGCTTCCATATCGATTGCTTTTTCGCAGTCTCATTTTTTCTTTTTGTAGTTTTGATTCTGAAATATCGTGTGTTCTTTAGTTTCATGTTGAAATGTAACTTACTTACAAAGAATGTGAAAAAAATATATGTGTACGATTTAAAGAACAGCCATATGACTACCGCCCAGCTCAAGGAAAATAATTTAACCTAGCCCAGAAATCCCCCATGGGCCCTTCCCAAGAAGTAATCCCTATGCTAAATTTTGTTAATCACTCTCTTATCTTTTAAAGATGTTTTTATCATTTACGTATGTATCTCTTTTTTTTTTTAAGGTTTTTTTGGGGGGGGGAGTTGGGGGAGGGGAACAGACAAGTTGCTGTCCTTTTGTTCTTCAGTCTAGTTGTGGAGGACGTCGCTTCACTGGCCCATGTTGGTATTATCATTGTACTCTTCCCGAATGAGGCGGATCGGTCACCGGCCTCTGGACGGCTGCTCATGGCGGCTCTTGGCAGCTCATGCCAGCTGCCAGCCGCTCACGCTGGCTGCCAGCCACTCACCGTAGCTTATGGCAGCCCTCTGCAGCAGGGTCTGCAGCCTATGCTATCTCTGGCGACTCACGGCAGCCCAGCTCCAGGTTGAGCTGTTGTTCATCATGTTAGCTGTAGAGGACAGTGTCACTGGCCCTCATATGTGGGATCCGAACCGGGGCCCTCTGGCGTCCCAAGCCAGCTCTTAAACAACGCACCACTCGGCCAAGCCTACATATGTATTTCTTAGCAATATATTATTGCTTTGCCTGGTGGTGAACTTTAAATAAACAGCATCTTAGTTAATGTATTATTCTGTAACTTGCTTCTTACTCCCAACATTTTGTTTTTAAGATTATCCATATTGATGCCTAATACCTATAATTCATTTTCACAGGTAAATAATATTCCACTGTGTGATTATACCACAGTTATGTATGTATTCCCCTGTTAACAGACACTTGGTTTATTTCCAGTGTTTTGCTGCTATAGTTATTCTTTTTTCTTTGAAAGTTTTTATAAAAAACTTTCCAAGATGTTATGCTTTGTGAATTTAAAACCAGTCTCTATATCCACATTAACAGCACTGTATGATCATACATCCTATCATTTATTTTTAGTTTACCACCAGCCAGAAACTGTGTTAGGTTCTTTACAAACATTTAAATTTTTAATTCTCATTAACATTCCTATCTGGTATGTATTATCTTCAGGTGAATGGACTATTTTATATAGGCAATAAAACTGAGATTCCTAGAGGTTAGACAATTCACCCAAGTCATTAGGTTGCAACTTAGTCTAATTCTAACGTTCAAGTTCCTTCCAGTTTACTCCATGCCTTAAGATACTGTATTGCATGCTAATCAAAACCAAATGTAATGATGTACTATAAGATTTATAAGTATCTCCTGTATGATTTTTTAATATTTTTAATTGTGGCAAAATACACATTGCATAAAATTTACCATCTTAACCATTTGGGGTTTTTTTTAGGAGTTTTATAATATTTATTTGAACCAAAAAGAGATATACCTGGAAGCAAGATCTCAACAGACTGAGATAAATGCTTCCCCATCTTCACCATTTTTAAGTACACAGTTCAGTAGTTCTAAGTACATTTCCATTGTTGTGCAATCCATCTCCAGAGCTCTTTACATGCTTGTACATATCTCCTGGAGCACACATGTAAGATTTCCCGTAGGGCGTGTCCTATTTGTAGAATTGGAGGCATTCCACCTATGGGTGGAATGTATAGGTTTACATAGGTTTGACTTTATCAGTTAAGGTCAAACTCTTCTCCAAAATGCACCAATTTGTACTCCCATAGGCAGTTACTTTTTTTAAAAAAGTATGTAAAACATTCAAATGTTTAAAAATGTCCTTTTTAAAGTTCCAAATATTAAAGGAACAAAAAGACAATACAATGAAAAATCTCCCATCCCCTAACCACTTCATTCCCTCCCCAGGGGCAATCAATATTACTGGTTTCTGGTGATTATCTTTCCAGAAATATGCTATTGTATATAATTCCCCCTTTTACAACAAATAGTAGCTTTCTATACATACTGTTCTGAAGCTTGATTATTTGTCTTTTTTTTTAGATTTTTTATTTGGGAATTGAGGAGGGGGAACAGGGAAGGGGAAGAGTGTTAGGGAATTTGGGAAAGGGAACAGCCAAGTTATTTTCCTTCAATCTTAGTTATGGAGGGCGCAACTAGTTCAGCTCCCAATACCAGTCACCATCCAGCCACCCGTAGGCAGTTCAGGGCAGCTCAGCTCAAGGTGCTGTGTTCAATCTTTGTTGCAGGCAGGCATAGCCCACCACCCCATGCAGCAGCCGAACCAGCAACCTAGTTGTTAGGAGCACGTGCTCTCAGCAGTTGAGCCATCCTGCCACCTATTGGCAGCTCAGTGGCAGCTCCGCTCAGGCACACCTCACTGGCCCATGTGACAACCAGGGACCCTGTTGCTCAGAGCTCCTGCTCTTAGCCAACTGAGCCACTTGGCCAGCCTACAAACAAATTTTTTATAAGAGCATATTTGAGCCAAACTGATGACATACGCCGAAGAGCAAGATCTCAAATGTTCCCTGATTATTTCTCTTAACAAACGTCATAGGCAGTATAACCTGGTGGTCTCAGGGGCTGATTTTTTAAATACGTATCCAGCTCCACTCTCAACTGGCTATAACCTTGAATAGGTCATTTAATCTCTTTGTGCCTTATATTCTTTATTTATATGTGGAAAGAATCCTAACTCAAAAGGTTTTGTGAGAATTAAATTAGTTAATACATTAGTTAGAACTGTGCCTATTAGAACTGTAACTATATCAATATAATTACATTAATATCTTCTCATTCTTTTTGGTAACTTGTTATATAAACGTATCACAATTTGTTTTCATTAGAACGGATGAACATCTAAGTTGTTCCCAGTTTGTTGCTATTACAAATAGCACAACAATAAATAACGTATCCTTTCTCACTGAAGCTGGTAAGTACATCTGTAGGATAAAGTCATAGAATTGGAACTGCTGGATCAAGGTATAACGTGCAGTTATAATTTTGATAGCTATTGACAAACTGCCCTTCATGGATACATCACAGATTCTTATATATAGCAATTTAAAGAGAGATAGAAACTTCAGAATAGAAGACACCTAGGTAAGCTACTTTGTTGTCCAGATGAGTCATCTAACGCCGGGAGAGGGAACATGACTCACATAATTAGTGGTGGAAACAGCACCAGAACCCATGCAGGGTCTGGAGTCCTAAAACTCTTTAAAGCTCATTTAACATTTCATTATTTTGATGCTGCAGTTTGCTTACTTAATGGCAGTAACTTAATATCTAATTTCTCATTATTCTTTCCGATTTGTTCCATTGGCTACTTTCCTACCCTGGATTGATCTCATGGGCTGTCAAGTGACCCTTGGACAATTCCGGCCGGCGTGAGGTTTTGCAAGAGACTGATCTTCCCTCGTGTTTCAAAATGCTAGGTAAACGGCCTCTAGGGGAGCAGAGTTCCGCCAGCCACGCTCAAGAGATGGTTTAAATTACAAACAGGGGAGCGCACTAGAGCACTTGTTCTGTAATCTCGCCCGGACCAATTTCGCAAGTTAGTGGTCAATTTGTACTACGTAAATCTTTTAGACCAAAGGAAGCCCGCCTCTCTGTGGCAAAATCGTCATTGGATGAAACGGCTGTCAATCACCAGGGATATAAATACGGGAGGCGGTCGGCTTCTCCCTTAGGAAGGCCAGGACACCGCGGCGTTCCTGGAGTACCGCGGCGCGAGTGGAGCCGGCGAGACGCTGTGGTAATATCTGACCTCGATAGTAACCGCAGTAGGAAAGCAAAGGGGCCTCTCCTTGCCTCTTTTCCCTCTCGCTGCCGGGCAGGCATGATGGCGGGAGCCGCGGCGCCAGGCGCCGGCGGGGAGGTGATGGCGGCGGCGGCGGCGGAAGGCTCCGCGGCTCCAGCGGGCTTAGCTCCCGGTCGCGGCTTCTCGAGCTACCGGCCCTTCGAGCCCCAGGCGTTGGGCCTCAGCCCGAGCTGGCGGCTGACGGGCTTTTCCGGCATGAAGGGCTGAGGCTGCAAGGTCCCCCAGGAGACGCTGCTCAAACTCCTGGCGGGACTGAAGCAGCCGGCTGAGCGGCCCCCGCCGGGCCAGGCCTTGGGTGGCCATGAAGAGGCGGCCCTGGAAGCCGGCCTGCCGCTCCAGGCGAACCCCAGCCCGACCTTTCCCGCCCTGGGCATCGGGATGGACTCCTGTGTCATCCCCCTGAGGCACGGAGGCCTGTCCCTGGTGCAGACCACGGACTTCTTTTACCCGTTGGTGGAAGATCCCTACATGATGGGGCGCATCGCTTGTGCCAACGTGCTGAGTGACCTCTATGCCATGGGCATCACCGAGTGTGACAACATGTTGATGTTACTCAGTGTCAGCCAGACTATGACTGAGGAGGAACAAGAAAAGATCACCCCCATGATGATCAAAGGCTTTCGCGATGCTGCGGAGGAAGGCGGGACCGCCGTGACTGGGGGACAAACCGTGGTAAACCCCTGGATCATTGTGGGTGGGGTCGCCACGGTGGTGTGTCAGCCAAATGAATTCATAATGCCCGACAGTGCAGTTGTGGGGGATGTGCTTGTGCTAACCAAACCCTTAGGAACCCAAGTTGCGGTCAATGCCCACCAGTGGCTGGATAATCCTGAACGATGGAATAAGATCAAGATGGTGGTTTCCAGAGAAGAGGTAGAGCTGGCCTATCAGGAAGCTATGTTCAATATGGCTACCCTGAACAGAACGGCTGCTGGATTAATGCACACATTTAACGCCCATGCTGCCACAGATATCACAGGCTTTGGCATTCTAGGACACTCCCAGAACCTTGCAAAACAACAAAGAAATGAGGTGTCCTTTGTCATTCATAATCTGCCAATCATTGCCAAGATGGCTGCCATCAGCAAGGCCAGTGGGCGCTTTGGACTCCTTCAAGGTACCTCAGCAGAAACTTCTGGGGGTTTACTGATTTGTCTGCCAAGGGAACAGGCCGCTCGCTTTTGTTCTGAAATCAAATCTTCCAAGTATGGAGAGGGTCACCAAGCATGGATCGTCGGCATTGTGGAAAAGGGAAACCGGACTGCCCGTATTATTGACAAGCCTCGAGTTATTGAGGTCCTACCTCGTGGGGCCACTGCTACTGCTCTTGCTCCAGACAATTCCAATGCTTCTTCCGAGACTAGCTCATGAAATGGAATAGCAGAAGTTGTTTGGACTGTAGAGCCTTTGTACACAATCATGGACGATGATCAAGAGTTGATTTTAAGAAGAAATTTCCAAAGAAGGCTGCCTGCATAGTAGTTCCACAGTTGCCCATTCTAGGTCATTTGAATCAGCCCATCATAAGCTGCACATTTGGACTTAAGGGAAAGGTTTGCTCAACCCATGTGTAGAAGAGGAGCAAAAAAACCTGTTTCCTCTTCCCAATAGCAAGATGACGATCTTCTGGTTTAAGGGATTTTTGTTGGCACTGGGTTGATTCATTTCTGCACAGGGAGTGAGATTAAAATTACATACCAAAAAAAAAGTAAATTGCAAAAAAAATTTAGATCAGAAGCAAATAAGTTTGGACCAATACTGTTGATAAATGTAAATTGTTAAGAGAGATCTTATAAAGCAATGTCAAATTCTTTATTAGATTTTTTCTGAAATACTGTCTCTTTCCTGCTCTGGACAAGAATTGAGCAGCTTGTCCATTGACTGGGAAAGGAGGACCTGCAACCATCTGACTTGGCCTCTGTTAATGATGTCTCTCTCTCTAAACCCCTTTAAGGACTGGGAGAGACAGAGCAAGCCCCAGAGCCCAGGCCTTGGTGGTCATTAAAATGTTAAATTTTGTGCTGAAAATTCCTGGTGATTTAATCTATAAAGTAATTTCTAGTGAAATAAATAAAAAGGACTTCGTTGAAAATTCTTCTGGCTAATGTTTGGATCCTTGGAATTCTTAATCTTTTACAGTCCTATAAAATGAATCTAAATCTAAATGATAGATGCAGAGTCTGGCCAAGTAGAGAGTTTTCTCTTGTTTTCCTTGATCCTGGAACGGGGGATTTAACACCCACATTTAGGTTTGCCAAAGGAAGAAAAGAAAAAGGAGAGGAAGATAAAGAGAAAGGACAGAGGGCAGAAGGAAAGGCAGTGACAAGGTGATTTCAGCACACACCAAGCATGTGAGCGGCCTCCTTTACTTCCTTGTGGTGAGTGGCAAGACTTCTTTCACTTGCTGAGGAGCATTGAGAAGTGCTGGTGACCTTCAGCCTATGCCTTTCTGGATGATCTCAGACAAGTCTCTGGGCCTCAGTTTCCTCATCTGTAACATAGGCGCAGCCATACCCACCTATGGTAGTCACGGAGGGGATCCCATGAGACATCCTCCTATAAATTAATATTACTTTGATCTACTTAAGTACCAGGCCCTGGGAAAACAAAAGCCTGACACTGCTTCTGTTCTCCAGCAGGCCCAGTCTAGGGGGAGATCTAGAACAGGAACACCAGTCACTCCCAAACTAAGATGAAAAGGGGTAAGTGCCATGAGAGCTAGAGTGAATGAAGTGCTACAGAAAACCAAGCTATTTCCTTTTGGAGGAAATTTAGGAAGGCTTCCCAGAGGAGGTGGCCCTGAAGCAGGGCTGTACAGGATGGGTGAAATTTGGATTTGGATATGCAGAGAAGGTGGAGGGGCATGCCAGATGGAGGGAACTGTATGAACAAAGGCAGGAAGGGAGAGAGAGAGGGGAATATCTCACTGGGTTTCAGCATGTGTGTACGGGGGTAAGGCTGGATAAATAAGTTGGGAAGGACTTCTAAGAGTGCTGGGGACTCCTTGTCCTGAATGGGCTGAGCTAGAGATTCCTAAAAGCCTGTTATGACTCCCCCTGAAACATTTAATAAGAATAAATATTTTTAATTATAGCAATACTCTTTCTCCCATCTCCCAGTTCAAAACCAACCAGGCCTATGGCTCTTATCTCCAATCAGAACAGCACTGTGATAGGTTGGGATACACCAATGAACAAATACATATTGTCCTGGTCCTCCCAGCATACACATGAAGGGTCCTCAAATGCCACCATTGTACAGACAGGAAATCGAGGCTCAAAGGAGAAACAAGCTTCCCAAGGGCATTGGTAGTTGGGGTCCCAGTCATTGGACTCTAGTTACCCATCACACTCTGCTGTCTGATCTCTGACTGGCCCAGGGCCCCCATCTGACACCACCCAGCCAGCTATGGGTCTCTGCTACTTTGTTCTCCAGCTGCTGCTGCCTCTTCCACTCCAGGCCTTCCCAATGAACCTTACTGGGAGCAGTTGCACAGCTTGGCTCTAATGGGAAGGTGGCAAAATTCTTTTGGGTAGCAGAAGGGCATGTGTGTACATGAGCATGCTTACCTGTCCCAGCCTGCCCACCCTGTCATTAAACATTTATTAGCCTGCAGTGGGGGAACACCTTTAGTTTGAAAAGACTAGGACACCCCGTCTCGGGGTAGCGGAGAGGCTTAGAAAGAGCTAATCACAAACATGGACCAAAAGAAAGACCAAGCACACTGAGTCCCTGACCAAAGCACGGAGATCAGGTTGCCTAGATGGGTCTGAGGAGAATGGAGAAAGCTGACTGGATGTGGAGGTGAGGGTCCGGGAAGAGCCTGGGATGAGCAGTCCAGATGATAGGGCCAATCATACATTCAAGTCTGTTCCCTCTCCCTCATGAGGGCCTCCCTTGCCCACCAACTCCGTACTCTGCTGGAGCTGGGTTTGGCTGGTCTTCAGAGGATGATGTTGTGAAGCAAAAGAACATGGATGTCCCCACAGGATGCTTCACAACAGCCTTGCAGCTCAGCCAGGGATCTCCTGGGAGGAGGGCAGAGGCAGCCCTGGACAGAGTGCCTCCTCCTTCCTGTCAATGTCCAACAACCATGTGATTTGTGAGCTCCAGAAGTCCTGGTCTCTGACTCTTCGAAAATCTGAGATGCAGAGGAGAAAAAAGCTGCTCTCCAAGTGTGTTTTATATTCCAGTAAAAGAGTTTGGGTTTTTTTAGTCTGAAGAAGCTTAGCAAACGAAGGAAGGTACTAGGGGAGGTACTTGGCTCCTGAAACGTTCAGTTCCTAGATCCATAAAACAGGTCCGTGCTCTGAACTTCAGGCCTGTATGTTCACCTTCCATGCTGAACGTCACCTGTGTGTCCTAGAGCCATCTCAGATGCCATATTTCCCAAACTAAATTCATTATCTTCCCTCCCACCCCAACCCTCAGGTCTCCTGTATCCTTTCAGCAAATGGCAGAACTATCCATCCATTTACTCAATCCAGAAATCCAGGAGTTACCCAGGATCACCTCTTTCCTCCCATCTCCCATATCCAGCTTCAATGTTGCCTAATCCAATGGCAAATTCTGTGCTCTCATCTCACCCAGCAGCTCAGCAGCATCCAAATCAGGTATCCACTCATTCTGAAATACTCTGATCTCTTAGCCTCCAAAACAGCACATTCTGCCAATTTTCTTCCTGCCTCTTTTCAACTGCTAAATGTTAGAGTACCCCAAATCATGGTCTTGTCTACTTAGATTCTTGTATTAGTTATTGTTCTCCAATTCCACGACTTTAAGTACTGTCTAAATGACTGAGACTACCAAATCTGAATCTCTAGCCCTGATCTCTCCTCTAAAGCTTAGGCTCATAAATCCATCTGTCAACTTGACATGCATCTTCAGTTTGCTTTGTCCTAAACCAAACTCCTGAAGCCACATGTGTTCGTTCGATCCTGTACCTCATCTTCTTGGTCCCAGGATGAGTCATCATCAATCCACCAAATTGCTCAGCACTCAACCTGTAAGCCATGCTTGATTCTACCCTTTCCCCATCTCCCTAGTTCAAAACCAACAAAGCCTATAGATCTGTCTCCAAAACATATTCCCAATGTGTCCACTTCTCTCCATCTCCACCCACCATCAGCCTGACCCAAGTCACGATCACCTCTTGCCTGGACAACTGCAGTTACTCATCCCCCTGCTTCTACTCTTGCCCTCCTCCAATTCATTCTTAACACAGCAGTCAGAGAGCTCATAAATACAAAATCTGGTTATATGACTCCCCTGCCCAAAACCCTCCAAAGGGCTTCCATAGTACTTAAAATCCAAAATAAAAAATAAAATTCATGGTTAACTGATCTGATCTGGCCTCTGTTTACTTCTTCAACACCACATCCAACCACTCTCCCCCTCGCTCACTACATTCCTGCCACACTAGAATTCCTTTTGTCTTTAGAACGTGCTAAGCCTTTCCTGCTTTAAGCATTGGTGTTCCCTCTACCTGGAACTCTATTCCCCTTGATTTATGCTCAGCTTACAATGTCACTTTCTCAAAGACAAGTAACAAAAAAACCAACTAAACATGGCTTGACCAATAAAGGGATTTATTAAATTATATAACTAGAATCCTAAATGAGAGCATTTTTGAAACTTGTAAAAGTAAGTGGCCCAGCAATGTCATCAAGGAACCAGGTCCTTTCTATCTTATCTACCAATCCCAGCCTGTGGGCTAGCTCTCCTCATAATCTGATTCTCACATACCAATATCAAAGGTAGAAACACGCTGTGTCTTTTAAAAAAAGGAACTAAGAACCTTTCCCAGAAGTCTCCAACAGACTTCCTCTCTTTATTGTCAAGAACTAGGCCACAAGCTCACCCATAAACTGATCAATCGTGTAGAGAAGGGTAGACCCCAGAATAAAATAACTTCTGCAAAATTGGAGAAAGGGGGCTGGCCGAGTTGCTCAACTGGTTAAGAGCTCGCTTGGGAACTCCAGCTCTGAGCAGCAGGGCCGCAGTTCGGGTCCCACATTGAGGGCCAGTGACGCTGCGCCTCTACAGCTAAGATGATGAACAACAACAGCTCAACCTGGAGCTGGGCTGCTGTGAGTCACCGGCGACAGCGTAGGCTGCATCAGGGCTGCAGTGGGCTGCCATAAGCTACCGTGGGTGGCTGGCAGCCAGCGTGAGCGACCTGCAGCGGGTGAGCGCTGCTGTAAGCCGCCATGAGTGCCCGACCAATGACCGCAGACCGATTGCGTCACCCAGGAAGAGCGCAATGAACATACCAACATGGGCCAGTGAAGCGATGTTCCCCACAACTAGACTGAAGAACAAAAACAGCAATTTGTCTACCTGTCTGTTCCCCTTCCCCGATTCTCCAACGCTTTCCCCTCCCCCAATTCCCCAATACAATCTTTAAAAAAAAAAAAAATTGGAGAAAGGGAAAGGGCAGTTGAGTAGATAACCAACAGTGCTTACCACATCTTCCCTGAACCACGCAATCTAAAGTTGCCGCCACTTTTCATAATGTTTAAATGCTGTAACATTAAAATTTATTTTCATGGCACTTATCACCATTTGAAGGGACATAGTGTAGGGGTTAGTAACACAGATTCTAAGGCCAAACTGCCTGGATTTGAAACCCAGCTACCACTTTACTAGCTGTTGAGTTAAATTACTCAATGTCTTAGTTTCCTCATCTGTAAAATGATGATGATGATGTTATCTATCTCATAAGGTTGTTATGAAAATTAAATGTTGCTAAGGGTTAAATATGTAAAATGCTTAAAACAGATACCAGTTCATTCCTAAGGCCCAGCTGTACTCTGGAGACATTCTTGTAAATCCTTATAATAAATTCCCCTTTCTTGCTTAAACCCTCCATTTCTGGGATTCTCCACGGGGCGCCCTTCCTTTGCCCACCGGGTCATTTAGCTTTGGCGCCACCTGGCGTCCCTAGGGGAAGTGACGCGACTGCGTTCTCCCGGCCTTCTGCCCTTTGTCTCTTCCCTGAGCGGAATCTGGTACCTACACCTTTAAAATGATTAGCCAAGACTGAGGAATTCCAGGGCAGATGCCCAGGAGCGCATGCTTGAAGCTAGCTCAGATTGGTCCAGTCCGGGTAAGGGGCGGGCTATAGCAAACGCCACATAGGAGACTGGTCTTTCCTGTGGCTCCGCAAACGCCTGTGATTGGTCAGGGCCTCTGGAGGCGGGCTCCGAGGGAAGCGCGAGGTTCTCCAGTGCAATCTGTACTACAGCGCGGTGGGCGACATGTCCGGGGAGGGCGGGCAGAAGCGCGGAGACACAGAGAGAGAAGACACTGGTGCCACCGGCCCCTTCAGCTTCAGCCCGAAGCCCACGCTCGAGGATATGTAAGACGTCCTTGTCCTACCAGGGCTGGGAAAATCACTCTCTTCCTCCCTTTTATTGGGGAGGATACCTCCACGTGGTCGGGAAGAAGGCTAGCAGCTCTGCCGGAGTCCCAGCTCTGCCGTCTGACTCCGGGCGAGCCTTCTAACTTCATCTGCAAATTGGGTTTAGCTGTGCACACCGCAGGCAGGGGAAACGGTGACGCTCGGTGAGTGATATTAGGACCAGCTCTGGAGAAATACCGGGTCCGATGCTGCTTCTGCCTCTGCCCTCCCGGCGTGGGAAGTAGAACGTGGGCAGATAGTGAGAGGTGGGAGACGTTGTTTCTTGCCTCAGGAAAGTTAGGAAGGCGTCTTAAGGGAAGTGCCGTGAACCTGCAAGATCTCTGTAAGATCAAAGAATTTAGATATGCAGAGATAGAGATATGCCACGTGGAGGAAACTGCCGAAACAGCACCAGATGGAATAATGGAAAGAGTGTATTGTTAGGTTTCAGTAGAGTCGCAGCGGTTCTCAACCTGTCGGTCGCGACCCTTTTGGGGGTCAAATGACCCTTTCACAGGGGTCGCCTAAGACCATTGGAAAACAAAAAGATATTTACATTACGATTCATAACAGTAGCAAAATTACAGTTATAGAGTAGCAATGAAAATAATTCTATGGTTGGGGGGTCACCACAACATGAGGAACTGTATTAAGGGGTAGTGGCATTAGGAAGTTTGAGAACCACTGGTTTAAGGTCTGTGTAAGAGGGCAACCATTTTATAGTCCCATAGAGAAGACGTGATTTGCGTAAGGCCATCCGCGGAGTTAGCTGCACAATCCCCTCTGATACCCATGCCCTTATTACATATAACTGAGATACCTGTCTGGGCCCCGCGTCTCTGCCCTCATCCCCTAACATTGAGACCTGGGCTTCCCTCTCTTTCTCCTATTCCAGCCGTCGCCTCCATGCTGAGTTTGCCGCTGAAAGAGACTGGGAGCAGTTCCACCAGCCTCGGAACCTCCTCCTGGCCTTGGTGGGAGAAGTAGGGGAGCTGGCAGAGCTCTTGTGAGTAGATGAAAGGCTTCCCGAAAGAGTCTGCGTGTTGTGGGGGAGAGGAGGGAGGCTTTATTTGATCATCCAATAGCTATGGATTCAGTTTCCCCTGCTCACTGGCAGGCTCTGTTCCTGATGCTGGGGCTACAGAGAACACTGACAGCCCCTGCCCTCTAGGGGGCGCCCAGTCTCCTAGAAGAAAAAGGTGCAAAAACTGCAAGGCAGATCCAGGCCTAAGAAGGGGCAGTGACAACCTTCCTTTACTTATACTCCTGGGGTGGAAAGGAAGACCTGTAGGAGACCTGCCTGTGGCTTTCCAGGCAGGGGGACGGCATCTGCGGAGGTCGTGAGGTGGGAAAGAGCCAGTTCAATTCAGGGAGAATCTGAGACTCCTTCAGTGTAAGTCTCCAAGAAGAGCGAGGAGTTGGTATCTGTTTTGTTCTCTGGTATGTTCCAAGCGCCTGGCACACAATAGACATTCAGTAGATATCTCCTGAATGAGTGCTAGGGCTGTGGGGGAGAGGGGTGGGCCATGCACCCAGAATGATAAAACGGGGGTTTTAGGTAGTGATGGATTTTGGACAGAAGACCTGGCCAGATTTGAGGGGTAGAAAGAGCATTGTATCTGCAGGGTGGATGGTCACCAAAAGAATTAGGGCAAGATGGGGGCCGGCCGAGTGGCGCGATGGTTAAGAACTCGCTTGGGATGCCAGAGGGCCCCGGTTCGGATCCCACATATGAGGGCCAGTGACACTGCCCTCCGCAGCTGAGATGCTGAACAACAGCTCAACCTGGAGCTGGGCTGCCATGAGTCGCCGGCGACGGCGTGGGCTGCAGTCCCTGTGGCAGTGGATTGCCATGGGCTACCGTGTGTGGCCAGCAGCCAGCGTGAGCGGCCAGCAGCCGCAGTGAGCGGTCGTCCAGAAGCCGGCGACTGATCTGCCTCGCCAGAGACGAGCGCAATGATGGTGCCAACTTGGGCCAGTGAAGCAACATCCTCCACAACTAGATTGAAGAACAAAACGACAGCAACTTGTCTGTTCCCCTTCCCCCAACTCCCCAGCACTGTTCCCATCCCCCCAATTCCCCAATAAAAAATCTTTAAAAAAAAAAAGAATTAGGGCAAGATGACCGGTAAGGAGGCTGGTGTAGGTCAGGAAAGAGGTGGTGAAGCAAACTCATCTTAAAAGATCGGGAATTGTGGGCCGGCTGAGTGGCGCGTTGTTTAAGAGTTGGCTTGGGACGCCAGCTCTGAGCAGCAGGGCCCCGGTTCAGATCCCACATGATGAGGGCCAGTGACTGCGCCCTTTACAGCTAAGATGATGAACAACAGCTCAACCTGGAGCTGGGCTGCCGTGAGTAACTGACGATGGGGTAGGCTGCAGTGGGGCTGGCTGGCAGCTGGCGTGAGCTTTTGTGAGCTGCCAGTGAGCCACTGTGAGCGGCCATCCAATGGCCGGCAAGTGACAGCCTCAGTGGGGAAGAGCGCAATGATAATACCAACATGGGCCAGTGAAGCGACGTCCTCCACAACTAGACTGAAGAACAAAAGGACAGCTACTTGTCTGTTCCCCTCCCCCAATTCCCCAATAAAATCTTTTTTAAAAAGCGAGAATTGCGATAAGTTCTGAGGAAATAACACAAGGTGTTGAGAAAGAAGGTAACTGGGGGAGAAGGCTTTTTTGAGGAGGTAGCATCTGAGCTGAGACCTGAATGACAGGAAGGAGGCAGCCATAGGAAAGATCCGGGAGATAGCAAGGGGGAGAGCTCTCAAGTCAGAGGGAGCCGTAAGTGCAAAGACCCAGGGACAGTTTGGCCTGTTTGCAAGACAGAAAGGGCTAGAGGGGCTTTTAGGTGGGGAGTTGGGACAAGCATTGGATAATGACCTTGGAAGAGGCAGGAGTCAGCTCATGCAGGACCTGGGGGGTGTGGTCAGAGTTTTGATTTTGTTCTATGCACAGCTGCGGCAGTTTTACCAAGTGAGGGACAGAATCTTATTTGTGCTTTTTTTTTTTTTTTAAGATTTTTTTAACTGGGGAATTGGGGGAAGGGGAATAGACAAGTTGCTGTCGTTTTGTTCTTCAGTCTAGTTGTGGAGGACGTTGCTTCACTGGCCCAAGCTGGCTGCTGGCTATATACGGTAGCCCATGGCAACCCACTGCCACAGGGGCTGCAGCCTATGCCGTCGCTGATGACTCACGGCAGCCCAGCTCCAGGTTGAGCTGTTGTTCAGCATCTTAGCTGTGGTGGGCCGTGTCACTGGCCCTCATATGTGGGACCCGAACCGGGGCCCTTTGGCTTCCCAAGCCAGTTCTTAACCATCGCACCACTTGGCCGGCCCTTATTTGTGCTTTTAAAAGGTGGTCCTGGGCAAGAGTAGATGATGATGAGTTAGCAGGCTTCCGCAGTGGTCCAGGTCTGAGATTTAGGCTGGGGTGGCAGTGGCTCGGGCTGGAGCGTAGAATTGGGTCTTGACAAGTGAAATGGTCTCTGGGCCACTCTGGCTCAGTCAGGTAGTGGGGACACACAGGTCTGGGTGAATCATTTGTTGGGGTCTCTTCCCCACCCTGACACTACTCAGGGTCAGATGGGTTGAGTTGTCTCTGGAAGAAGTTCCCGGGAGGTGGGAGTTCATTGCTACAAGGACTGGGGTGCTCTGAGAGGCAGAGCCCATTGTCCTAGCAAGCATCTGTGTGTGTGTGTGTCTGTCTGTGTGTTCTGCCCCCAGTCAGTGGAAGCCCGATGCGGAGCTTGGCCCCCAAGCCTGGCCCCCTAAGGAACAGGCAGCCCTACAAGAGGAGCTCAGTGACGTCCTCATCTACCTGGTAGCATTAGCCGCCCGTTGCCGCGTGGACCTGCCCCAGGCAGTGCTTTCCAAGATGGACACCAACCGGCGACGCTACCCAGCACATCTATCCCGCGGCTCTTCCCGCAAGTACACAGACCTGCCCCACGGGGCCACTTCTAACGACCAGGCTGTGGGGACTGCAGATCCAGCTTGTGAGTCCACAAATCAGGCCTCCACCTAGAATTATGGGCCCAGGCCCTACACCTCAGCACAGCATCACAGGTCATCAACCTAGGGGCCCCGCTTCCTGAAATCTGAGGCTCAAGAACCTCTGGGAGACAGCCTCCTGGGACTTTTCTCACTCAATAAAAGTGTTGTGTAACGACTTCTGGAATCTTCCCGGGGTGGCCAGCGAGGCTGTGTCTTAGCCAGTGCTGGAGAGGAGCACGAGTTGCCTCTGAGCCCAACTCTATTGTACCTCCCACCTGCAGGGCAGAGATCTCATTTCTAGTAGGTTCCCTATGAGGTCTCATTCATGTTCCTTTCCCTTGGGGCCTCTAACAGATAGGAGGTTGTATGTAGTGTTCAGAGCCCAGACTTGGGAGCCACGCTATCTGGGTTCAAATGCCGTCTTTGATACTTATGAGCTGGATGATAGTCATCAAATGACTTCCATCTTTCTGTACCTTGGTTTCCTCATCTAAAAGGAAAATAACGGTATCTACCTGCTGGAGTTCTGTATGGTTTAAGTGAATTATTCTAAGTAGAGTGTTTAGGACAGTGCCTGGCACATAGTAAGTCTGCAGTTGTTTTCTGTTTGTCTTCTCAACTCAAAGCTTTCAGAGGCCCAGAGCAGGGAATGTCGACAGTTAAGGGGGGCCTGGGCCTAGAATAAGCCTCAGGTCCCTAGCACAAATTGGGGTCAGGGCACTGACATGGAGTAGAATAGGGCTTCTACTCCCCTCGGGTTTGGGCCCATGGCTCCCTCCCCTGCCAGCCCAGCGCCAGTTTCTCATGCCACCTCTATACCTAAAGATAGTGTCAGGTGTGTATGATTTACCTGTTGGATGACCTCAGGCACATCACTTCCTTTTCTGAGATACCTGAGGTCTACCTCCCTCACAGGGTAGGGTAATGCAGGGAAAAAGACCTTGAAGTTACTTTTGCTGCCCCTCTGAACTAGTTTCCGCGTCAGTAAAATGAGGCATTCCTCTACTGGCCTCATTCCTCTTGGGGACCCTACTCCCTTTTCACCAGTGAGTGACCTCTTACTTCCCAGGTAAAACAATCCAGATTGGAACTGCTGCTTCAGCCATGTGTTCCCAAATCCACCCTGCTTCTCCCTGCCAGTGATAGCTGGAGCCTTATTCTTCCTGAGCTCTGATTTCATTCCTTCTCCTCCATCAATTAATCTCCTCTCCCCTCTATATAATCAACGTCTCTTCCTTTCCATTAGCCCTCCCCACTGGCACATAAAGCATAATGGAGTCTTCTCCCTATAGACAAAACAAAACCAATAAACTTTCTCCAGCTACTTCCCTCAAGCTTTTCACAGTCAAGCCTCTCAAAAAGGGTGTCTACACACATCTACTCTGGTTCTTCATATTCCCATTTATACCCTAACCCATTCAAGGCTGGCTTTCACCCCCACCCCCAAACTCCTATAAACCCAGTGGATGCTAGAGCAGTATCTGACAGCTGACCAAGCCCTCTGCAACACTTCCCTCTAGATTTCCCAGACAAGACACTTCGTTTTCATTCTACCTCAGGCTGTTCTCTCACAGGTTCTTGGGTACCCTCTTCTAGATATGGTATCATGCACCCCAAGCTGATACCTCCAATCACCTCCCTGACCCCTCCACATTTATCACACTCAACATATCCAGATGGGGGTGTAACAATTCCTGCAATTTCAACTGTCCTCATCCTATGCCATCTGTGACACTACCTTGGGTCAGTCATCTAAGCTAAGAAATGACGTCAGCCCCATCTCGCCTTTCCCTCATCCCCAGGTCCACTCTTAACTCCTAGCTATGTCCAATCCACTCCACCCCCACCCTTCAAGGCTTTGTTACCTTGGATCCTTTCACATGGCTTCTAAGGTCCCTAGTGGTCTACCTCCTGCTAACCTTTATTTTTGTCCCTACCATCCACCACAGGGGATGTCTACAAGCTCTAAGAAGTCTGGCATGCCGTTTTGGAGGGCTCTCTCCATACTTCCCCCAACCCCCTTCTCTCCTGGTCTTCAAGACCAAGTTAAACTTATCACCTCCAAGAACACCTCTGAAGACCTAACCAACATCCCCCATCAGCTTCCATGACAATGGCCTGCGAGCACCTGTTTCTGCTCTTCCATGCACTGGCTGTCAGTACCTATTTACTCATCTGCAGAAATGGAGATAAGATTCACCTGTGTTCGGGATGTTAAGGATGAAAATGAGCTAATAGTAATGAAGCACTTGAAGCCTTTAACTAGTTTCTACTATTGCTTGTCTCTCCATTAGAGAGCTCCCTGACACTACTGGCAGCTCATCAAAGCTCTGCGGAACGCAGTGCCTATTTGATCAAGAACGTGCTGTTTATGGACCCTTCCAGATCTGCGGTTACGAGGACATAACCAAGGGCCGAGTATGGATGACTCCACACAGTTCCAGGCACCCTGTTGGGCTTAGAGCCCCACTTGGCTCCACGACAGTTCGCTTAAATCACTTAAGCATAGGGAAAACCCAACTTTCTTCCTCTCCCCACCCACCTCATTTACAGGCACGGATGGGGTGAGGATATAATACTTTATTCACTAACACAAGGCGAGGGTTTGTAGTGAGAGGGGAGTGGGCAAGGTTTCCAGGGACCCGGTAGGGGATTCGCCTTGTCTCCGGGGTCCAAGGCAGCCAAGCTGGTCATCCCACCCTTTCTGGACCTGTGTGGCAGGGCGGGGAGTCGTCCAGATTAACGCAGCCCCTCGGGGGCGGGGCCTCCCCAGCGTGCACATCCAGCAGGAGGCTGGCAATCCGTAGCAACGAGAACGGCGGCTCGGCTACCCTCGCACTCCGGGCAGCGCTCGATGGTAGTAGCGGCCGTGGCGCCAGGAGGTAACTTGAAGTCCCGGCCGCAACGAGCGCAAATGTAGAGACGGCGCCGCATATGCGCGCGACGGTGGCGGATGAAGTGCGAACTGAGCCGAAAGCGCCGGCCGCACTCGGCACAGGGGTAGGGCCGCTCGCCCGTGTGCGTGCGCGCATGCTCCGCGAGGTTGGAGCGGTGGCCGAAGCGGCGGCCGCACACGGCGCAGCGATGCGGCTTTTCGCCTGTGTGCACACGCCGATGCTTGGCTAACGCCGAGCTCTGCGCGAAGCGCGTGCCGCAGTCGGCGCATGCATATGGCCGCTCGCCCGTGTGCGTGCGTCGGTGGCGCGCCAGGCACGAACTGCCGCCAAAGGCGCGTCCGCAGTCCGGGCACGCGTACGGCTTCTCGCCCGTGTGCACGCGCAAGTGCTGTGCGTAGTTGGAGCTCTGCGCGAAGCGGCGGCCGCAGTGCGGGCATGCGTACGGCTTCTCGCCGGTATGGCGACGCCGGTGCTGCCGCAGGTTTGAGGCGGCCGAAAAGCGCTTGTCACACTCGGGGCACTCGTAGGGCCTCTCGCCGGTGTGCGTGCGGCCGTGTTTGGTCAGCGCCGACTTCTGCGAGAAGCGCCTGCCGCACTCTGTGCACGCGAAAGGCCGCTCGCCCGTGTGCGTGCGCGCGTGCTTGGCCAGCGTGGAGCGGCGCGCAAAGGCGCGGCCGCAGTCTGGGCACGCGTGTGGGCGCGCCGGGTCGGCAGACGGCGCTGGCGCCTCCATCGGGACCTGCGGGGAAAGGGGGAACAGGTCAGCCCTGACCCATAGGCCGGGGAGCCAGAGACCTGGGTCTCCGCAAGCTGCAACCTCTCGGTTCCCCGTGTAAAACAGGAAAAAACAAGGGTGCCTGCCTCATAGGACAGCTGTGCGGATTAAGTGAGATACTGCATTATTACAATGCCCCGTGTCATCCTAGCTATTCTTTATTCATTCAACAAATATTTATTAAGGGCGTATAATGTGCCAGACTCTGTTCTAGGCACTGGGGATTCAGCATCATTAAAAATCCCGGCTTCCAGGGCCGGCAGAATGGCATGTTGGGTAAGAGCTGGCTTGGGACGCTAGAGGGCCAGTGACACTGCCCTCTACAGCTAACATGGTGAACAACAGCTCAACCTGGAGCTGGGCTGCTGTGAGTCGCCAGAGATAGCATAGGCTGCAGCCCCTGCTGCAGTGGGTTGCCATGGGCTATCGTGTGTGGCCAGCAGCCAGTGTGAGTGGCCGTCCAGAAGCCGGGGACAGATCTGCCTCGCCAGGGAAGAGCGCAATGATGGTGCCAGCTTGGGCCAGTGAAGCAACGTCCTCCACAACTAGATAGAAGAACAAAAAAGGACAGCAACTTGTTTGTTCCCCTTCCCCCAATTCCCCAATAAAAAAATCTTAAAAAAAAAAAAATCCCTGCTTCCAGGAAAAATGGATAAAGAGTGCTGGTATTTGGGAAGATGCTGCAAACTTTAAGGTTAAGAAACCTTACTGATGTAACAGGAGCAAAGACCTAAAGGACGTGAGAGAGGAGGCTACTGGGAAAAGCAGGATCTTGAGGCAAGAGTTGGCCAGTTACGTTCCAAGATCGGCAAGAAAAAGGGCTTAGGGCAGAATGCACGAGGGGGGAGAGTAATCAAGGGGATAGTCCTGGAGGGGACCTCTTAGTTTAGGGCCTTGTAGTATGAATGGGACAGGGACGACTGGAAGAGATGTTAGACTGTTTTGAGCAGGGACAGGACCAGATCAGACTCATTATGAAAAGGCTCCATCAGTTTGCTGGGGTTGAAGGAGGGGAGAGGGCAGAAGCAGGAGCCCAGGGAGGAAGTGTCATCTGGCAAGAGAAGACAGTGGCTCAGATCCAGGTGACAGGCAGAAAGTGAAGGGGGTGAGAAGTGGTCGGCTTCTGGATATATTTTGCCATTTGAGACAACAGATTTAATAAACAGATCAGATACAAGGGATAAAGAAAGGAGTCAAAATTACTCTCAAGGATTTTGAATTTAGCAACTGCAAAGGTGCAGTTGCCATCGGCAATGGTGAGGATGGTGGGAGGAGGAAGTTGGGTAGGTGAGATCTGTTTCAGATTGCATCTCCAAATCTCCCTGACACATCGGGAGGTCAGGAGACAAGCCTAGGCTGGAGATGCTCATTGGGAAGCCGCCAGCCTATAGATGGTTTTTAAAGCCTTGAGACTGAATGAGATTACTCAGGAAATGGGCAGAGAACCTGAGGCAGCAAGGTGAGGAGCAGCCAGTGAGGTAGGAGAGGATGGTATCTTAGAAGACAAATCCAGGCTCTTGAATAAACCTTGAAGATCAAGCACCTGTCATTTTTTAAGCTGTGAAGAAGAAGGCAGGGGTAAAACCCAAATGTTATTCTGAGGCCTGAATTGAAAATGAGCCAGTTCCATAAGGTCTGGGCTTCTAGAGATAAAAATCAGAAAAAAATGCTTTGTCAGAGGCAGGTAAAGGGAAAATTTTGTATTAACATTGCTTTGTATTAACTGTGAAATGAAGAGGAATATTGAGCGCACACTGTTCCCTTCTTAGAAAAGAGAAGGCTCATCCCAGCAAAAGTGAGGCTGAGCATTTCCTGTGGGCCCAGAAATGAGATGCATTAATTCATGACCAAACGAAATACCTGGCACATATTTAGGACAAGACAGGGTTAGCTTCTCCCCATATTCGATCTCCACGAAGTAGTTATCACATTCTTATTTTAGAGATAAGGAGAAGGTTAAGGGAGGGTAAGTGACAGCAAGCAGGAAGGCCTTTAGTTTAAGTTGCAAGGAGGGCAACTTCAAGGACTTAAAGATCCTTTGTAAAAAGGCAGTAGCTCTTTGGTAACCAACTCAGATATTGGAACACAAGGCAGTTTGGGATTGCCTTAGAGACCAGACAAGGGAATCCTGCTTTAAACAGTATACACAATGATAATAGTCATACCAACCTTACAATGTAAAGCTTCAACCATGCTACTTTATGTACATTATTATATTAAATCTTCCCATCACCCCCTTGAGTCAGGCGTTATTCTTTGATAATTAAGAAAACTAAGGCTTGGGCCTGCAGAGTGGCACGTTGGTTAAGAGCTGGCTTGGGACGCCAACTCTGAGCAGCAGAGCCCCGGTTCGGGTCCCATATGAGGGCCAGTGACACTGCCCTCTACAGATAAGATGGTGAACAACAGCTCGACCTGGAGCTGGGCTGCCATGAGTCGCCAGCGATGGCTAGGCTGCAGCCCCTGCTGCAGTGGGGTGCCATAAGCTACTGTGTGTGGCCCGGCAGCCAGCGTGAGTGGCTGGTAGCTGGTGTGAGCTGCCAAAAGCCGCCGTGAGCAGCCATCTAGAGGCCGGCGACTGATCTGCCTTGACCGGAAGGAGCGCAAGGATAATACCAAAAGGAGCCAGTGAAGCGATGTCCTCCACAACTAGACTGAAGAACAAAAGGACAGCAACTAGTCTGTTCCCTTTCCCTGATTCCCCAACGCTGTTCCCCTCCCCAATTCCCCAATAAAATCTTTTTAAAAAAAGAAAGAAAAGAAAACTAAGGCTCAGGGAGATTAAATTCACGGAAGCCAGTGGGAGTCAGGAACCTTAACCAGTAGGCTACACTGCTTTCCTGCTCTTGTACAGCCAAGATGTGATCGAGGCTGGACTCCAAGTCCCTGGCACTTTCCAAGAGGGAGTCAAGGTTAAAATACAACTTGATACTTTAAATCGAGAAATTCCTCACAGCAGGTTTGGCACAGTTTGAATTCAAGGTCACACTTTCTAAACTTGCCCTGATTTTGACATTTACTGGGTTTATTTCAACACATGAGCCATTGTGGAGAGAACTTATCATATCTACATTTTTCTGGCTCTTTTTTCTTTGGTACCCTTCTTTAAGATGACTTCGAATAGCCTGAGGACTTCCTTATGCGGGGCTCACTGAATCAGGAAAAAATTCTTCACACAAGTACTCTTGATATTTCCAGCTCCAGGAGAGGCCTTGAGTGCCCCAGGAAACATCTTGGTAAGAGGGGCTGCATCTACCTCATTAAGACCCTGGGCAACTCACTCCCTTCTCTGGCCTCGGTGCAGCAAGGAAGGTAACGTAGGCTAGGTGAGATAAAAATTCCCAACTGAGGTATACACATCACAGATGCAAGGGTTATGTAGGCACACTGTTATCTTATTATAATCATTACGCATTTATTTCCACGGACATTAGAAAAAGAATGGATCACATGAAACCCACAATTTCATCAATATTATCATTTGGATGAAGGTAGATTTATTTAACAAAACCATGTGAATCTCTGTGAAGAAAAGCATTAAATAAACACAGCAGGTGAGTGACATACATGTGACTGAACTTGGCAAATACCAGACCAGGTGGTCATTAAAAGCCCTTACACATCTTAAATTCTGCAACTATTAGATATCAAAATTAGAATAAATGGTACTTGCACTATACAATATGGGGATATAATGCAGAACAGTAAAATGACCATCCAAGGGTTTCAAGTTAGTGATTTTTTCTTCCTGCTTTTTTTTTTTCTTTTAACCAGGGCAAACTTCCCAGTTTCCTCCTCAGCCATTACTTTTCTAATTAATAATAATTAACTACTGAGCACTCACAGTGTGCCAGGGGCTGTGCTAAGTGTGTTCCATCCCCATTTTAAATTCTCACAACCCTTTGGGTTAGGGATTATTAGCCCCATTTTATAAAGAAAGATATAAGACTGAAGCCTTCCCGAGGCCCGGCAGCTAATCAACGACAGAACCAGGGTCTGAACTGGATAGAAGTTTTGGCCATGATGTAATTCTTCTCACTGACAAGCGTGAGGTCACCTCCACAGCTTTTCTCCCTCCCCTGGACTCTTTTCAGAATCCTTCTCTTTTTTGGTACAAAGTATAAAATATGATCTCTGTCCTCGCACCTTGCTACAGGAAGTGTGGTCCACAGACCAGCATCATCAGCATCACTGGGAACTTGTTAGAATCTCAAGTCGCACCCCAGACCTACTGAATCAAAGTCTTCTCTTTAACAAGATCCCCAAGGGATCTGTATGCATGTGAAAAATTAAGACACTTGATCTAAAAGAGAAGAGCAACTCCTGGAGAAAGCGGGTGGAAATGGTAAAGAGGGTTTTACAGGCTTGAAAGACCACGTGGACAGTCTGAGAGGTGAGAAAGGGTCAGGTCTGTTTGGAGCTGGGGCCTGGGACGGGTGCTGGGTGATTGGAGATGAAGCCAAGACATGAGGTCAGATGGTGAAGGGCCTTGAATGCCAGGCTTAGGACCTGAGACTTTATCCTGAGGGAAACAAAAAACCACTCAAAGATTTAAACAGGGAAGAGATAGGATTGAATGTACATAGAGCCCTCTGAGAAAATCTTTCTATTCATTAAAGAGAAGTCGGATTTTGATAGGCAGTGAAAGAAGGCTTCAGCCCCTGAGTGCAGCATAATTAAGGCCTGTTCTGGACAATGACTGGCCATTGGGCTGGGTGATAGCTAAGACTCACAGAACGTCAGCACTGGAAGGATCTTTCGAGGTCATGATTTTGTAGAAACTGAGGCTCAGGGAGACCACACAGCAAGTTAATGAGCTATCTTGTGGGCACAGAGCTGTTTCTGGGATATATGTATGTAACCCTCATTTCCACCCTTCTCCTCCAAATCCAGTCACCCAGAGATCCTTAGACTGGCTTTCAAGAATCTTCCTTTCATTGTTTAATTTTACAGATGAGAAAGCCATGGCAGAGGTGGTAAATGGTGGAGTTAGGATTTCAACCTGTTCTCTCCACTGCTACATGATAGCATGTAGTCTAACCTTAACACATTCACGACTAGCCCAGGCCACCCTCCTCCTTCCCATCCTTAGCGCCAATGAGTCCAGTCAAGGTTCCCAAATATCCCCTTTCTTTCCGTCCTCTCTTCACTGCTGCCACTACCTTAGAGCATGCTACCAGCCCTACATGGCCTGGTCTCCCCACAACAGCCAATGAATCTCCTAAATAGAAATCCCTCCTCTGATTGGTGACTTCTGATGGCACCACATAACTTCGCACAGTGTCCAAATTCCTATGCTGGCTTTTAACGCCTGTAACTCTCTGTTCCTGTATCCTCTGAGCTTTTGCTTTTGCTGTTCCCTCCTCCTGGAATACCCTTCCTCCTCTTCCATTTGCCAAATCCCCACTAAGCCTTCTCTGGAAAGCCTTCCCCACTGCTGAGTTGTTTGCCCTCAATCCTCTGTCTAGGCCTCCAATGCTGGTTTCCCCGTTCACTCCCAGCCCCAGGAGTCAGCGCAGAAAGGCCTTTGATAAATATGAGATGGAAAATCTCCAGGCAGATGACCTAAACCAACATTCTGAACTCTAGGGAGAAAAACAAATAATAGCAAATCTTTACGTCATGTTTATTACATGCCATACACAGTTCTAACTCTTCACATGTATTAACTCATTTAATCTTCACAACCCCAAATAAGTAGGTGCTGTTATCATTTCTCTTTTACAAACGTGGAAACTGAGGCACAGAGAGGTTAAGAAACTTGCCCAAGGTCACACAGCTGGTATGGGATGGAGGTGGAAATCCACCCTAGGTTCTGGAATCTGAGTTCTTAATTTACAGGCCAAAGGGGAAAATAGGGGACCCACAGGGCCAGAAGAGGCCGACTAAGCTAGGAAGATGGGCCAAAGAGGCCTGAGGAAAACAGAACTAAATAGTTAGTTACTTTGACTGGAAGAAGACACCCCATCAGCCAGCCCCCTCACTCTAGGGCCCACCACACCCACTAGGGGGCAGCAGAGTTTTCTTTCCCTGGGAACTGGCCCCTCCATTGGACTGGCTGGAGCAGGAAGAAATCAGAGCCTGGGCCCAGAAATCTGGCAGAGCCAGCTGGACTCAGGGCTGCCCTGGCTGGAGGTGGAAGTCCTGTAGGGTCCTGGGAGGTGGAAATATCCCTGGTGGCAGGGAAATCTAACTCCTTCTGATCTCCTTAAAACTTCTCTCTTTAAAACTTCATCACCCTCAGGATAAAATCCAGGTGCCCTACCTGGCCTGCCAACTGCCCTACTCTCATCCATGCACAGCAGGACTGAACCACTTGCCTTCACTTCTCCCAGGGCCCCATTCACTCCCTCAGAGCTACCTGAAGGGCAATTCCTTCTGCCTGGAGTAGTCGCCCTTCACTCTCACTGGTCTCAGATAAACCATCCCTTTACTAACTTTTGAGACCTTGGGCCAGTCACCGAACTGTCCAGTTTCCTGGTCCTCAGTTTCCTCACCCGTAAAATGGAACAAATAACTACCTACCTTATAGAATTGAGGTGCTTAAAACAGTGTCTGGAGAATAGTAAATGCTACCAAGAGTCAGTCAGCTATTCCTGTTGCTGCTGCCTTACCTGACCCCTCTTGCCCCCACCCGCAAGTCTGCATTCAGTTCCCAGCTGGGTTCCCACCTCCCACCTATCACATAGGATTGTAGTTGCGTGGTTGCTTGGCAGTCTAACTCTGCTAGACATCGAGCTTCATGGGGAACCAAGGGAACCAAAGGCTGGCATTTACTCTCCAGCACCCAGCACAGAACCTGGCACAGTAGGCGTGACATCTGTTTGACGGCAGCATGGGCAATGGGGCAGTAGGGTGAGTGGCCAACCCTCAGATTCTAGGTCTGAAATTCAGGGATAAGTAGGGACAGGGCCCCTGGCTTCTGTCTAAGGGACGCTGGACCTGAACCAGGTTAGGGGCAAGGGGGCCCCAGGGTGAGACACGTACCTCCTTGTTGTCCACAGGGATCTTGAGTTTCACCACCTCATACTTCTCACCCTCATCGTCCTCACCCTTCACCAGCAGCACCATCTCCTCTTGCATCTCTTCCTCCTCCTCCTCCTCTGTCTGCTGTTCGCCCGGCATCTTGGTGTCCTGGGGCGGGCAGCTGGGTCAGAAGCTCAGGACCCGCCCCCCACCATGGCCCGGGTTCAGGCAAGGCGGTGCAGCCGTGGCTTCTCTCGCCCTGTCCTGGTCTCTAGGTCTGGCCCTCTCCCCTCCACCCCAGCTCGGCCCTAGGCCCCAGCACTGCCCTGGGACCAGCTCTGAAGACACTCATTCACCCCACTCATCCTGGCATTCAAGGCCCTGAACTGTTCGAATTTCCAGTCCCAGCAAGTCGCCACCCTCCCCGCGCTGAGTCACTCCCCGGCGCCTGGATCAGCGGCCCAGAGCTCCAAGGCACGGACTGGAGGCGGGATCGGGGCGGAGACCCTGGGGGAGCGCACTCACCAGCCACAGGTTCCGCGCTCGCGCAGCCCCAGGCCAGAGCGCCCCGCTGTTGGGCACTCTTTGAGGCCGCGGCTCAGGGGAGGGGCGGAGCCTCGGGGACAGACGTTCATTGGTCAGAATGCCTAACCCCGCCCTCTAGGGGAGGGGTCCAGAGGACTCAGGCGTCCGGCCCAAACTGCCCCAGTAGGGTGGCGAACCCAGAGCCAGCGCCCTCTGCTGTACTCAAACTCCCAGGATCCCAGGTCGCCCCATCCCGACTTGCAAGGTCCTCATAGTCGGGTGGTAACCTACCTTCAGGGCTCGTCTCTTGGCCAGCGGCTCAAAGGTCTCCGCGGCGGCCAAGCGCGTCTGCTCCGCCCCAAATAGGCCACGTGCGCTCCCGTCCAGGCCTAGGCCTCTCTCGCTGGCGCCCCGCCTGGAGGGCGGACTCTGGTGCCTCCTCGCCTCTTCCCTTCCCTCTTTTTCCTCCTCTCCCATCTTCTTTCGTTCTTTCCTGGCGTCACCTTTCTGGTCTCTTGGTCTCTGGGATAGCTACTCCTTGAATTCAGGCTACCGCTGCCTTGTATTGTGTGGGGTGCCTCCTATGCGCCAGTGTTACGCTAAGCGTTTTACACACCTGATCGCTTTTCAAGTAAATGTATTGGGGATAACCTTGGTGATAACATTACATAAATTTCAAGTGTACAACTTTATAATATAACATCTGTATCCCTCACTGCGTGCTCACAAGCCAAAGTCTAGTCTCGTTCCAACACCATGTATTTGACCCCCTTATCCTCTTCTTCCCCTAACCCCCTTCCCCTCTGGCAGCCACCATTCTGTTTCATCTATGAGTTTTTTGCTTTTTCGATCTGCACAAAGATGGGTCCAGTTTACAGATGAGTTAAGTGAAGTTCAGGGAGGTAAACTGATTTTTCTAAAATATACAATAAGGGCTGTCATAGCATCCCTGACAACCCAGTCACCTAGGTGGATACTTGGGGGGCCCACAGGCCAAATCCAGTCCACAGAAGTATCTTGTTTGGCCCTCAGAGTGTTTTTACATTTAAAAATTAGCTTCAGGGCCAGCTGAGTGGCGCGTTAGTTAAGAGTTGGCTTGAGACACCAGCTCTGCGCAGCAGGGCCCTGGTTCAGATCCCACGTGAGAGCCAGTGACGCTGTGCCCTCTACAGCTAAGATGGTGAACAACAGCTCGACCTGGAGCTGGGCTGCCATGAGTCGCCGGTGATGGCGTAGGCTGCAGTGGGGCTGGCTGGTTGCGGGCGTGAGCTGCCGTGAGCTGCTGTGAGCCTCTGTGAGCAGCCGGCTAGTGGCTGGTGACCGATCTGCCTCACCCGGGAAGAGCGCAATGATAATATCAACAACATGGGCCAGTGAAGCGATGTCCTCCACAACTAGACTGAAGAACAAAAGGACAGCAACTTGTCTGTTCTCCTTCCCTGATTCCCCAACGCTGTTCCCCCTTCCCCAATTCCCCAATAAAATCTTTTTTTTTTTAAGATTTTTATTGGGGAATTGGGGGGATGAGAACAGCGCTGGGGAATTGGGGGAAGGGGAACAGACAAGTTGCTGTCTTTTTGTTCTTCAGTCTAGTTGTGGAGGACATTGCTTCACTGGCCCAAGTTGGCACCATCATTGCGCTCTTCCCAGGCGAGGCAGATCAGTCACCAGAAGCCACGGCCGCTGGCCACTCACGCTGGCTGCTGGCTACACACGGTAGCCCATGGCAACCCACTGCCACAGGGGCTGCAGCCTACGCCATCGCAGGCGACCCACAGCAGCCCAGCTCCAGCTAGAGCTGCCGCCCAGCTTCCCAGCCGCGGAGGGCAGTGTCACTGGCCCTCATATGTGGGATCCAAACCCGGGCCCTCTGGCATCCCAAGCCAGTTGTCAACCATCGCGCCACTCGGCCGGCCCAATAAAATCTTTTTAAAAACTAGCTTCAAAAAACAAAAAACGAGGTCTTTTACTATTTTAATTTCCTGCATTTAAAAATTGAGGTGTTTCCCACTTCTCTTGAAAAAGATATCTAATTCTCCCATTTTATGAATGGGGCAACTAAGAATCAGAAATGATGAAAGAGGGCCGGCCGAGTGGCGCGACGGTTAAGAACTCGCTTGGGATGCCAGAGGGCCCCGGTTCGGATCCCACATATGAGGGCCAGTGACACTGCCCTCCACAGCTAAGATGCTGAACAACAGCTCAACCTGGAGCTGGGCTGCCGGGAGTCGCCGGCGACAGGCGTGGGCTGCAGCACCTGTGGCAGTGGGTTGCCATGGGCTACCGTATGTAGCCAGCAGCCAGCGTGAGCGGCCAGCAGCCGCAGTGAGCGGTCGTCCAGAAGCCGGCGACTGATCTGCCTCGCCAGAGAAGAGCGCGATGATGGTGCCAACTTGGGCCAATGAAGCAACATCCTCCACAACTAGATTGAAGAACAAAACGACAGCAACTTGTCTGTTCCCCTTACCCCAATTCCCCAGCACTGTTCCTATCCCCCTAATTCCCCAATAAAAATCTTAAAAAAAAAAAAAAGAAATGATGAAAGAAAGAGAAATAACATTCAGTAAGTGCTTACAAGCCCTACGTTGTCTCTTTACAACAGCTTTGTAGGGATCAATAATATCTCCCTTTGACAAATGAGGGAAGTAAAGCTTAGTGAGCTTAAGTAATTTGCTCAAAGTCACATAGCTGGTAAGTAGCAGGTTCCAACACATGTTCTTTCTATTGCACCAAATTATCTCTCAGACATGCGGTTCCATGAAGAAATTGGTAGCAGAGCCAGGACTCAAATCCAAGCCTCAGTCTGCAGAGTCCAGGGCAAAATGTAAATGTTGGGATTACATCTCGGCAAACTTTTGATCTTTCCTAGAGCTGGGAAAAGAGTAAATGCCCAGATATTCATGCTCAAGATCCCTGTGGGGGTCCAGGTGTTAGGGCCTCGCAGATTCAGGAAATGTTTACAGGCTTTGGAGACCCGCTGCCCTGACTCCCCCAAGCCCAGGTGGGACTGCAAGGAAAACAAGTTGTTTATGTGAGTTGCTCTTATTGCACATGTATGCTGGCACCATGACACTATTGTTACTGTGTTATAAAAACCCCAGTTCTGCACCTGAAACTAATAAAAAATTAAAAAAAACCCTCACAATTCTGCTTAACTGGGCATGAGTTCGCGGGCTCTGTGTTGTGCTGTTCTGCTGCTGGGTTTTCTGAGTTCTGCCTTTGCTGCTGCTGCTGTTTAACCAAGTTCTGCTGCAGTTCTGCCTTTGCTGAATAAGTGTTGCTGCACTCATGTCAGAGACTCTGCAAGGCTTTCTTCCCTTTGGGTACCTCACCACCGAAACCATCCCTGCTTGAAACACTCGGACCCAACAATCCCCAAAGCCACTTGGATTGCATTTGTTCTCTCATCAAGTATTTATTGAGCCTTATTATGTGCCTGGCACCATTCTAGGTATTAGAGATGCAGTAGTTAACAAAACACAAAAATCTTGACTATTATGGCCCTTCTAAGGGTGTAAAAAATGTACACAAGTAAATAAGATAATTTCAGGTAATGATAGGTGCAAGAAGGAAAAAGGGCAAGACACTGCAATAAAGAGTGGTATGATTGGGGGGCTTCTTTAATGTGGGCAGGGAAGACATCTCTGAGGATATACTATTTGAGATGCCTTGAATGATGAGAGAGTATTAGCCACTTGAAACTCTGGAGGAAGAGTGTTCTAGACAGAACTAGAGGCAGTAAGCTAAGAGCAAGCTTGACATGTTTGAGGAACAGAAAGAAGTCTTCTATGGCTGGAGCCGCATGAGTTCGTGAGGGGAAATGCAGCGTGGGAGATGGACGAGACATAGGAGTGACCAGATGATGGCTGGAACCCCACCTATAGCAAAAAGTGAGTCCTGCTCACTCTGATGCAGAGAGTCAGTGAAGAGACTCAGTTGGGAGCAGTGAAAGACCCTCCTGGAAGGGTCTTCTGCAGTGGGAGGATGCTGGAACAGATGTTTGCAAAAGGAAGACAAGGAGTCCATTTGCTCTACAAACATGTACAAGTATCTGGAATCAGAGCTAGTTCCTGCTCTTGAGAATCTCATAGTCTAGTAAAGAAGATTGTGGTAAAGAAGATTATATATATATATGTATATGCACACACACATACATGAAAAGGAAACAATAGGTGGGTGTTCAGCAGGAGAATAGTGGGATAAGTGAATGACTCCCTTGAAGGGAGTGGGTATTGGGTACAGGCCTCACTAAGGAGATAAATGTGAGTGGGCGTTTGACAGATTGACAAAGAGGCAGCAACTTGTAGGACCCTATACTCTTGTGAAGAAACACATCATGCTCCCAGGACATCGTTCACCAAAGTATTGATTGAGGCCTCTTGTGTGCCAGGCCCCTTTTAGGACTGGGAGGTAGAAAGTTGAATTCAGAAATGTCTTTATCGTACTCCTTGCTCTGCGTTTCACCACTTGCCTTCAGCCCCACCAGAACTTCACCTCTTGAATCCCCAAGGACTGAGCACCTACTCTTCACTCTGCCCAGAACACTCCACATCCTAGCCAACCCCTCACCTCCTCCTTTCTTAGCTTATTTCAAGTCACTCTTGGCCACTTCTTTGGCTAGGCCTTTGGATCGGTAGGATTCTCTCCTGCGTGTACGCTTCCTGCATAGTCCTCACCACACTTGAAATTATTTGTTCAGTGTCTCTATCTTTTGGGTAGAAACTTAGGGCAAACACTTTGTCTTAGTCATCCCTCTACCCCCAGTACCCAGCACAGAGTAAGTGATGCTGTGGAGTGACTAATTGTCCTCAGGGAGCTCGTGGTGTGTTAGGTGCTCAGCTGGAGGTGATTCTAACCCAAGCTGGAGGTTCAGGGAAGTCTGAAACCACACAAGTGGAAGACCTTGAATGCCAACGAAGGAGTTCTGTTTTGCACAGAAGACATGCAGAGATACGGCAGGGTTTTTAACTGGGGAGTGACATGGTCAGATGCAACCTTACAAAGTTCACTACAGGCCGGCGAGAAGGCCGACCTGGTAAGGGGAGGAGACAGGAGAAACCAGCAGGGAGGATCTTCCAAAAGCCCCCAACGGCCTCCATTTCAGGCATGCGGTTATGTGTGCACCTGAAGACCAAAACCTCCAAGAATCCCAGCCCTGAACATGAAACTCTAGGGTTTCGAGCGTGTATGACAACTAGGCAGCAAGTGGGAGGACCAGAAGGACCTGCACTGTCACAAGCTTTCCTTGGTTTCTCCGCAAGCCCATCCGAGGGTGAAGATATCACTAGAGCTTCTATTCAGGAACCATTCCTGCACGCAGGTGAGCTGAGGCGCCCCACCAGCTGTTTCAAAGCAGTCTTATGCTTCGTTTCTTAGGTGGGTGAACCGTCCTACTCTTTTTTTTGTCCGTGGCCAGTCAGCCCTCCTGGGAAAAAGCTACATGGAAGCCCCGCTGCTAATGACACCAGGGTCCCTGGGAAATACGGTTGCCTTTCCCGAGGGATAGAGGTATCCCCTTTGCCCTCTCTTTGGACAGTACAAATGACTTCTCGACAAATAAAAAAAGGTCTGAGAGAGGTGGGTTTCTCAGTAGGCAGACCATCAGTGTTAGGGCCTTCTGTGCCTGTACTGGAGCCACACTTCTCCCCTACCAGTCGCCATAGCAACAGCACTCACTGAACACCCTCACCCCGTGGCGTCGCTCGATTTTCCTTTTTAGGGTTGGGCTGGATGTGACGGTAGGCACCTGTTGGCATCAAGAACTCAGGTCTGGGGCATCAGTCGACAGACCTGGTGGCTGATTAACCAGATGTCAGAGCCAGAAAGAGGCTGACTATGCCCATTTCTTTATTTGACCGGCTCACAAGGCAAGAGACCCACACAAGTTTATACAAGGCTTAGGGGTTTCACCTGTTGTGACCCTTCAACAACTTTTCACCCCTCACCATACACACACACACACACACACACAAGTCCAAACCTCAGACAAGAAGCAGTTTATTAGCAAGGAGACACATGGAGATGTGGCTGTCTGGCCTTGGAGCTTCCCTGGCCTCTCCTCGCTTGTTCTGTCCTTCTCCTAGTTACCTTGACATCCAGAGCAGAAGCGCTCCTTCTGCTCACTGGTCTATTCTGCCAGTGTCCAGGAATCAGGGTGGGTTGGGCTTCTTCAGGGCAGGTAGGTTTGGGCTCTGTCCCAGTGCCTCTCCTGGCTAAGACCATGTCCAGTGGCCTGGGGCTGGGTACTGCCTGCCACACAGCAATACTCTCATCAGGATGACAGATGCCCCTGCCTAAATGTCACCCTGAACTCCAGCAGTCTCTTTGTTGCAGCTCATAAGGTCAAACCAACCATGGCTCAGGGTGCTGGTCTCCCAGGGTCAAGATTAGGAAAGATCAATCTTTACAGGTTAGGAGGCAACAGGAATTTTAGGTTCAAGGGTCCTCAGGCTAAGGCCAGTTTATTAATTCAACAAGTATTTACTGAGTGCCTGTGTACTAGGCAGTGTTCTAGAAGCTGGGGGGATAGATTACACTGGCAAGGTCCTAAGCCCAGCTGGGACAGTTTCCTGAGCTTCAAGATCAGCCTCCAACCTCTATTCACTCCTTTCTCCCATTTCTTCCCCTCCTCCCTCCCACCTCCTCACAGGCCCTTTCTTCTCTGCTTAAGCAACCCTTTGGTCTCCTGGGCCTCCACCCTTCCTGAACCCCATCATTCTAGTCCCGTTGGTGGCTCCGCCTTGAGGGGCCTTGCCCGACCATCCCCCGTCCCAAAGGGCCTGAGGACCAGGTGCCCACGTTGGTGCTTGATGCGGGCAGAACTGTCCCCAAAGCCCTTGCCACACTCTGCACACTTGTATGGCTTCTCCCCAGTGTGTGTGCGCCTGTGTTTGACCAGATCTGAACTCCGGGGGAACTCCTTCCCACAGAAGCCACACACATGGGGCTGGCTGGGTCCAGAGGGCTGGGCCCGGACTCGGGGTCGAGGGGCCATGGGTACTGGGCCTAGGGGGTTATGTGGCCTCAGGAGAGTGGATGGTGGTGGTGGCCGAGCCCGCTCCCCACGGTGGGTGCGGAGGTGCTTGACTCGGGCGGAGCTGTCAGCGAAGCCCTTGCCACACTCAGGGCACAGGTAGGGCTTCTCCCCCGTGTGCACACGATGGTGTTTCACCAGGTCCGAGCTTCGGCGGAAGCCCTTGCCACACTCAGGGCACTTGTGGGGCTTGTCACCTGCTAGTGGTGGGGGTGGCTCCCCAGCCTGCGGGCCCCCAGGCTCCGGCTCCAAGCCAGGCAGGCCAAAAGGCCCGTCACCTGAGTGTGAAGGGCTTCGAGGTGTCAATGGGGGACTGGTGCCAAGAGGAGGCGGGGGTGGGCTTGAGCTGGGGAGTGGGCTGGGGATCAGGGGGGCCAAGGGATAGCCTGGGAAGCTGAAGTCCTGGGGTTCCATGTGAGTGAGGCGATGACGGAGGAGGGTGGAGCTGAGGCTGAAAGTGCGGTCACATTCCGGGCAGGCATGAGGCCTCTCCCCACTGTGGGTGCGGAGGTGCTTGACTCTGGCAGAGCTGTCCGCAAAGCCCTTGCCACACTCAGGGCACAGGTAGGGCTTCTCCCCAGTGTGCACCCGCAGGTGCTTCACCAGGTCTGAGCCCCGGGCAAATTCCTTTCCACACACATCACAGCCAAAAGGTTTGGGCCCCAGGTGACTGCGCTGGTGGCTCAGAAGGCTGCAGCTCAGCACAAATCTTTTGCCACAATCGGTGCAGATATAGGGCTTGTCCTGAGCCTTGGGTCCCTGTGCGGCTACTGGGGTTGCTCGGGATGGCTGCCGCCGGGGCACCACGGGCCGGGGGGCCTGCTCCCCCCGGTGTGTCCGCTGGTGCTTTATGCGAGCAGAACTGTCGCCAAAGCCCTTGCCACAGATGCCACACTTGTAGGGCTTCTCACCCGTGTGCGTCCGCTGGTGTTTCACCAGGTCAGAACTCTGACGGAAGCTCTTGCCACATTCGCCGCAGATAGTGGGGCGCTCACCAGCAGGGATCCTGGACCGAGGAATCTTTGGGGGGCCCTGGGCCAGTGGTCGGGCTCTGTAGGGTTTTTCACCACTATGAGTTCGCTGGTGTTTGATACGGGCAGAGCTATCCCCAAAGCCCTTGCCGCAGACCCCACACTTGTAGGGTTTCTCCCCTGTGTGGGTCCGCTGGTGTTTCACCAGATCTGACATCTGCCGAAAGCTCTTGCCACACTCGCCACACACAGCAGCCCGATCACTAGCCTGGCCCCAGCGTGGTTCTCCCAGGAGCCGGGGGCCTCTGTCCTGAGCCCGAGGCTTTCCTGGTCCCTCCCTCTGGACCCACAAGTCATCCCAGGTCTGGATGCCTTCGGGCTTGAGAGAGGCATTTCTGACTTCATGACCCGAGGCCAGCTCTTCCTCTTCCTTGAACCCCAAGTCATCCTCCTGTGGGGTGTGTTCAAACTCATCCGTCTGAGACATCTCCACGTTCTCACTCCCTAGACCTGGGGAAAGAAAAGGCAGTTGTAGTCCTGCCCTATGGCTCAGCCCCTACCTTCCATTGCCATCTCCCTAGAAAGGCTTCCTTGCCATTCTGCGGTCACAAGGACCTCTCTCTGTTCTCTGAATGTCTAACGCACTTATTATTGTCTGGGCCTCTCAATAATAAGAGTAACTTCCTTTTCCCTTGCCCTTGAACTACCCATTACTAAAGCCTTGCAAACGATCTTATGAGGTAATAGTATTCCTATCCCCATGTGGAAATTCAGAGAATTTAAGTCACTTGCTCAAGGTCATAAAGGTTGTAAGGAGCAAAGTCAAGTTTCTAACTCAGGTCTGTCTGTCTGATCCTCAAGCCTGGGTTAACCATTACATTCTAGTGTCTCTAGTTGAAAACCTGGTATTTGCTATTTCTATTATATCTTTTTATAGTTCATTCTATAATTTATTCAGTTATCTTGTGTTTACCTGACAGGCTCCAGATACACACCTGTACCTCAAGGTGCCTAGGGTTGGTAGGAGAGAGAAGGGAAAGTGCAAATAATTATACTTGTGGGCTCAGAATAACTGTGCTGGAGAGAGAGAGAGAAGAAATAGGAGATAGGGACAGGCTTTCATGCGATTAAAGGGTAAACCATGGAGAGGAATGGAGGATAAAACTGGAAAGGGATGTTGGGACTAGGGTCTGGATTGAACACTAGGCTAAGGCTTTCATTAGCAGGCAGAAGGGAGCTAGGAAAGGTTTTAGAGAGAGGAGACCCGATTAGATCTGGGCTGAGATCAATGTGGCTGCAGAGGGCATCATTGGTGAGAAGAGGGCTGAGGGGAGACTGTTGCAATTGCAGGATGAGACAGAATAAGGCACGAAGTAGGGCAGAGCAGTGAGGATGGTGATGACTGTTGGGGAAGGGAAGACAGCCCTAGAGACGATACCCCTCCCGGCCTGGCGCACTGTAGGTGCACATAAACACTGCCTCCCTCCCTCAGTTTTTGCTCCCCTCCCCCTCTCTTCCTGGAAGCACAGTTCAAGTCCAATTTTTTTGTGCCTTGGCCAGGTCTGGGGTCCCCACCCGGCCAGTACCTGCTCATGATGGTGCATCGCCGCGGCACTCACCTGTGCGGGCGCCTCGCACCTGCTCCCTGTCCTCCCGGCCACGGAGGTCTGGGCCCCAGGGCCCCACTGCGCGCTCCATTGCCGGCAAGTCGCCCTGAACAAGGAGACAGACACACGATTCCACGGTCACACAGCCATGTGCGGCCTGCGGCACCCGGCCGTTGCCCTCTACCGGCCGGAGCGGGCACCGTGCAGCGTCTGGGTCCGAGGTGCGGGGCGCGGCTCCGGTGATCTCCGCCCGTCAGCGCCGCTAGCCGCCCCTGCACCTGCTGCTCCTTCCGGCACGCAGCCGCCCCTCACCTCCCGGCCACCTCCGTGGCCGCCAGCCGGGTGCTCTTCCGAACTCCTCCGTTGGGCTCGGGTCCCCGAGCCGCCGCCGGCTCGGGGATGCAGGATCCGCGTGCAACGGGGAGAGGGGCTCGGCCCCAGGCGTCCAGGGGGCGGCCGCCGTGGGCGGGGACTGGAAGCGGAAGAGCGGATCCGCACGGAGCCGCTCTAGGACATTGGAGGAGCTACGCGCCTGTGGGGGCCTCCCGGCCCTCCTGAGTTCGGTAGCCGGCGGGCGGCCGCGGGCCGCGCGGACGGGGCTACTCTAAGCCGAGGACGGTGGGCCGAACTCAGTGGTATTAACCGTGTGCCTCCTGGGCTGCAGCTGGGAGATGAGGGCCGGAGACTCTAATTGTCGCTGTGTTGGGCCACCGCGCCGACCTGCGGGATCGGCCGTCAGCGCCAACCACCCGGGCTGGGAGAGACAAAGAGATCTAAAGACTGACCCAGGGAAAGGGGTGGGGGAAAGACCCAGGCAGACAAAGGGCGGCGGAGGGCGGCGGAGACCCCAGACGGGGCGGGGCGGGGCGCCGAGGCGCACGAAACAAAGCCTGGCCGGTCCGAGAGGCCGAGGGCTGGGGTGGGGGATGGGGGCCAGGCCGGGGGAGGGGAGACTAAGGCAGGAGCGGGAGCAGAGGCGACTGCCTCCAGGGACGCTTTCTGGGGAGAGGCAGGCCGATGGAATTAGACCTGGGTCCTGGAATGGAGACCCTGAGCCAGAGACTCACAGAATCGGAACCTAACAGCCCTGAGTCAGAGAAGTCACAAAGGCAGAAAGAGAGACAGAGAGAGAGAGCCAGCGGCAGACCCAAAATACCGGAGCAAAAGATCGGCCGCCAGAGACAAAGAGATGTAGAGACAGTTAAAAGAGAAAGTCATTGAAGCAGAGTCGGGAGGAGCTGTAAGAAAAGGCCCGGAACCTGGAGAGAAACAGGCCTAGAGTCGGAGAAACAAAGACAATGAAACCGGCAGAGACAAAGAGACAGACACACCGGTCGTCGACAGCCCTACCGAGGCCAAGGCCAGGGAGAGGCTGGAACCTCTCTGGGAACCCTGTTTCCCAGCTTGGTGGGTCCCTGGCTGGGGCTGTGTTCCAGCCAACACCGGGCATAATCCCCAGGGTTCCCAGGATCTGGACTTTGGGCAAGCTTGCTTTTAGGGAGGAGGAAAGCCTAGAAGAGTCCCCAGCCCATCTAGTGATGGGGAGGGATAACGGAGGTTTCTTAATCCACCTTTATGAACACCTGAGTGCTAAGCCAAGAGGTTGGGATGAAGAGATGAAACACATACAAGATTTGTCCTTGGGGTGTTACCAGTTTAAAGGGGCAAGCACACAAATCATGAACAATAAAGAACTTAAGGGTATGAGAGTTACATGCACCTGTAGTGGGAGATGAGTCTGCCTGGTGTGCATGGACACGGATTGCGAATCAACACCTACTTAGGGACCACCAACCAATATCTAGACACTGCCTAGGCCTTGGAAATACAAAGAGACTCATCAGAGAGCTCTCAGCCCAATAGAATATGGAAATGTGCAGCAGGGCCCCTATTCGGATCCCACATGGGGGCCATTGACGCTGCTCTATGCAGCTAGGATGGTGAAGGGCAGCTCGACCTGGAGCTGGGCTGCGTGGGTTGCCGGCAATGGCTTAGGCTGCAGCCCCTGCTGCAGTGGGTTGCCATGGGCTACCGTGTGTAGCCAGCAGCCAGCGTGAGCGGCCAGCAGCCGCCGTGAGCGGCCATCCAGAGACCGGCGACCTATCTGCCTCACCCGGGAAGAGCAGAGTGATCGTGCCAACATGGGCCAGTGAAGCGACGTCCTCCACGGCTGGACTGGGGAACAGGTGGACAGCAACTTGTCTGTTCCCCTCCCCCAATTCCCCAATTAAAAAAAGAAAAAAGAGCATGTGCACTAACCAACTGAGCCATCCAGCCGCCCACCAGCAGCTCAGCTTAAGTAGTTGTTTTCAACTAGTTGCAGAGGGCGCAGCTCACTGGCCCATGTGGGAACTGAACTGACAACCCTGTTGCTCAGAGCATGTGCTCTAACCAACTGAGCCATCTGGCCGCCCCCTGTTTTAATGCTTCTTGAATTTACATCATAGGAAAACAGCGGGAGCTAAGGATAGTATGGTAAATTTACTCATTTGTGCCACAAACATTTCCTAGGGGTCCAACATGTACCAGGCACCTGTGTTAGGAAACAGGTAAGGGAGTACCAAATGGCAAAGAGCCATCCTGTCTTGGAGGAACCTTCCCCTCCAAAGCTGGCCAACCCACATTTACAGAGCTTTGACTTTGAGAAAACAAAGCCTGGAGTTACTAGGTCTGAACCCGAATTCAGGTCTAAAGATACAGAAGCGCCTCCAGGAATGCCTGGTGAAGCCACAGAGAGCTATGAAGACATGGCAAGATGAAGAAGAGCTAATCCAGCTGATAATGAAACGGGAAACTGCCGTCCACCATACATTGCCCCATAGTAAGCTCAGGGTGGGACCTTCCTTTGTCCAAACAAGCCCTGTACTTTATCACATGAATGATGAGGCATGGTTTGTTGGCGTTAATAAACGTGTCAATGGAATATTGTGTCATTATTAATTTATGTCATCTCTACACTTAACATCTCTTAATCACTGTATGTCTCTATCATCATATGAAACTTGAACGACTTCTGTGAGTTCAGTGTGGCAGGAGCTTCCAATACCATTTGATAGATGAGGAAATTTAAGGCCCAGAGAGGTGATTTTTTTCCCAAGGTTACATGAAGGAAACGGTACTAGAAATTAGGTTGAAGTAAGGGTAAGATATACAGATGGCAACATGGATAGATCTTAAAAAATAGTGCTGAATGAAAAAGTTAACAGAAATATATATTCATATACATAAAACCATTTGTATAAACATGTACTGTATACTACACATTTTTCAACATGTATACAAACCAAAAAATTATACATTAGAGCAAGGAGGGGAGAGGAGTAAGCTATGAGGCTGTATTAATCTGCTCAGGCTGCCATAGCAGAATACCACAGATGAGGAATCTTAACCAACAGGCATTTATTTTCTCATACTTCTGGAGACGGGAAGTCCAAGATCAAGGTGCCAGTAGGGTTGGTTCATGGACAGGCCTCTCTCCTTGGGTGGCAGACAGCTGTCTCCTGTGCCTGAGCAGAGAGCTATCGCTGGTGTCTCTGCTTCTTATGACTCCAGACCTATTGGATAAGGGCCCCACCTTTATGACCTCATTTCACTTTAATTACCTCCTTAAAAGCCCTATATCAAATATAGTCACATTGCGGGTTAGGGATCCAACACATGAATTTTGGGGAAACACAGTTCAGTTCGTAACAGGCTAAAAGGGAAATGATAACACCACAAGTGGAGAAAGCAGATGAGGCTGGAACAGTAGGCAGGATCAGATCAAGCAGGCCCTTATAAGCCCAGTAAGGAGACTAGCTTTAAAGGCTCAGAGAGGTCTCTCAGTTCATAAACGCTAACGCCAGTTTGTATATATCACTGATTGACTACAAAACCCACGTCATCTGAAACTACTCAGAGTCCTGATAACAAAGTGGAAATGTGCTATTTCATTTTACCAATAGAAAATTGGGTTCAGAGAGGCCACAGGATTTGCTAACGGTCACATGGTAAGTGGACATTCTGATTTCAAAGCAAGGCTGCTTTTACATGTTCTACAGCCTCCTGGCCTTGGACCTACCTAACTTCACTTACTCATTCTTTTTTCTTTTTTTTAAATATTTTTACTGGGGATTATTGGGGCACAGTGTTTTTCCAGGACCCATCAGCTCCAACTCAAGTAGTTGTTTCAATCTAGTTGTGGAGGGTGCAGCTCAGTGGCCCATGTGTGAATCGAACTGGCAACCTGGGTGTTATGAGCACTGTGCCCTGAGCTCTACCCACCTGAGCTAACCAGTCGTCCCCATTTACTCATTCTTTCTTCCACATATTCATCTAGTATATTATTTATTGGCACTTTCTTTGTGCCAGGCCCCGTGAAAGACACTGAGGACATGGTCCCTGCCCTCAGAAAACTTAGCTGGGGGCCGGCCAAGTGGCGCATTGGTTAAGAGCTGGCTTGGGATGCCAGTGGGCCTCGGTTCGGATCCCACATATGAGGGCCAGTGACACTGCCCTCCACAGCTAAGATGCTGAACAACAGCTCAACCTGGAGCTGGGCTGCCGTGAGTCGCTGGCATAGGCATAGGCATAGGCTGCAGCCCCTGCTGCAGTGTGTTGCCATGGGCTACCGTGTGTAGCCAGCAGCCAGCGTGAGTGGCCAGCAGCCACAGTGAGCTGCCGTCCAGAAGCCGGCGACTGATCTGCCTCACCCGGGAAGAACGCAATGATGGTGCCAACTTGGGCCAGTGAAGCAACGTCCTCCACAACTAGACTGAGGAACAAAAGGACAGCAACTTGTCTGTTCCCCTTCCCCTAATTCCCCAGCACTGTTCCCAGTCCCTAATTCCCCAATAAAAAAATCTTTTAAAAAAAGAAAGCTTAGCTGAGAGAAGAAACAGCCAGGTAAGCAAATGTGGGCAATGGAGGGGCCTGTGAAAGATGCTGGGAAGATTTCACAGAGGAGAGAGAGCACTTTGAATCAAACCCTTGAGGGATGAAGAGGAGTTCACCTGGTACAGAAGGAAAATCTCAACATGGGCAGAGTTAAGGATGGGGGCAGTCAGTGCAGGCGAGTGAATGATGGGGTGATGAAGCCAGAGGGGGACAGCATTGGGGGCCGGCCAGAGCTCTGACTTGATCCTGAGGTAACTGGGAAGCCCCTGAAAGGTTTCAAGGAGGGGAAACACCTTGGCCAGGATTCTGAAGGGTCTCTCTGACAGTGTTGTCCAAAGACCTAAAGTCTTTCTAAGAATTCATTGCAAAATCAAAATCAATCAATCCATTGCATGAGCTGGCAAAGAAAAGTGACACCCCCTCCCACCCCCAATCTTGTTATGGCTTTTGGTCCACTCAGACCCTAGGCTTTTTTTTTTTTTCAACCATCCCTGTCAAAGCCTTCATTTCATTTGCTAGAGAGACTACCCTGCTTCCTTCCTTCCTGCCTACACCCCACCTCATATGAGGGTGATAGATAGGGCTACAGTGGAGCTTGGAGGAAGGGTGTGCAAAGAACAGAGGGATTGAAGCTTCCTATAAGGGTGGATGGAAAAAGAGATCCAGGAGGTGAGGACCCCAGGTATCCTTAGTTTTGGTTTCCTCCACCTCTCTAGGCCAGTTAGAACATCTTAGCCTCCTCCATAACCCTCCCCCTCGTTTGCTGCGCTCAACTTCCTGCCCCACCAGAGGAAGTGGGGAGAGACGGCAGGTGCAACGACAGCTAACCGGGGCCATGGTGAGTCCTTACGCCCAGGAATCCAGGCTTCTCTGCATTCCCGTCCCCAACCCCAGGGTAGCCAGGCCCAGGTCCACCCATAGTAGACTGACTTCTCCTAGCCCTTGAGATCAGGTTCTATGGGAGGCCCTGCCTGCCACTCCCAGGAGCCTCACACTATCTAATCCCCACCAACAGGACAAGGAGTATGTGGGTTTCGCAGCCCTCCCCAACCAGCTGCACCGCAAATCTGTCAAGAAGGGGTTCGACTTCACACTCATGGTGGCAGGTCTGGGGTTTTGGAGAGGAGATGGGTGGTGGGTCCTCAGGACATCCTGGCTGTCCCCTCACCTGAATAGTGGGACCTGGTCTATTCACAGGGGAGTCAGGCCTGGGGAAATCCACCCTCATCAACAGTCTGTTTCTCACCAACCTCTATGAGGATCGGCAACTGCCAGAGGCCAGTGGTAAGATCCTCCCCATCCTCTCCAGGCACTCTGCTCCCCCCTCCAATACCCCCAGGCAACACTCTCTTCCTTTCCATCTGGGTCTCTCAGGACTTTCTGAATGACTCAGGCAGCAGTTCACTGCTCTTCTCTGAGACTGCTAGCAAATTGGTGGGGGCAACTGTGATACTGAGAAAGGCAATTTGTCCCGCCTCAGACCCCTATCCAGTTCTCTGACCTCTCCCTGTCCCATAGCTCGTTTGAAGCAAACGCTGACCATCGAACGCCGGGGTGTGGAGATCGAGGAGGGGGGTATTAAGGTGAAGCTGACCCTGGTGGACACACCTGGCTTTGGGGACTCAGTGGATTGCTCAGACTGGTGAGGAGTGGGGGAAGGGACGAGAGCCAAGGCCCAATAGGGCTACTCTGTTAAGTGTGGAGACTGAGGGCTCAGGTACAGGGCTGGTCTGCCTGGCTTCCCACCCACCTTGACCCAAAGGTGGGGCCTCTCACCTATGCCCCTGCCAGCTGTCACGGATTTCTTTGGTTGGAGCCAAAGGAACTCCTTCCCACCCCATCCTGGCTAGCCTTCCCCCGTACCCTGCCACTTGTCCCCTGATCCCTGACCACACTCTCTCCTCTGTCCCCTCACCCCAGCTGGCTGCCCGTGGTGCGCTTTATTGAGGAACAGTTTGAACAGTATCTTAGGGATGAGAGTGGCCTGAACCGGAAGAACATTCAGGATTCCCGTGTGCACTGCTGCCTCTACTTCATCTCACCCTTTGGCCGAGGGTCTGGGGGAGACACCCTGGGGGTTGGGGAATTTGGGGAGGGTGTGGGGGGGTGTCTGTACCCCTAGACCAAGCCCTGACCCATCCCTGGGTGCAGGCTCCGACCCCTAGATGTGGCCTTCCTCCGGGCGGTACATGAGAAGGTCAATATCATCCCAGTTATTGGCAAGGCGGATGCCCTGATGCCCAAGGAAACGCAGGCCCTCAAGCAGAAGGTGTGGGGGGACTTCTGACCTTTGGCCCCATGTGTAGCCAGAAGGCAAGAACAAACCTGAACTCAGCGTTGATGTCTCTGATCTCGGGGTGGGCTTTTGGGAGCATGATGTGGAAGGGTGGAGTATGGGGGAACGCTTCTGGGGATGGTGCAAACGCAGTAAGCTGCCTGAAGGAGCCATGTCTCTGGAGGCTCAGAATGGAACCCCTGGGCTGGATGCTGGGCTGAGAACTGTCTGGGGGTCAGGGCACAGACAGACATGGCTCCTGATAGCCCTCTGGCCCCAGGATGCTGACAACGGCACCCCACCCCCCACCCGCCCGAGGGTCTCCAGAGGCCTCCCCTGCTGTTTCTGCTTATGTCTCTCTCCTGGTAGTTTGGTATCTGCCTCCTCGTAGATCTCTTCCTGTTAGGGTGTCTGTTTCCACCATCTGTCTGTCTCTTACTGTCTCTGCATCTGTCTCCTCTGAGAGATCCGGGACCAGCTGAAGGAGGAGGAGATCAACATCTATCAGTTCCCCGACTGCGACTCCGATGAGGATGAAGACTTCAAGAGGCAGGATGTGGAGATGAAGGTGCAGAGGCAAACGAGGAAGGGGCGGGGAAGCGGGGAGGCAGACGCGGAGGTGGAGGCTGAGAAGGTTTCTGCCCACGAGGGGCCAGCGCTGATCCCTAACTCCTGCCCTCTAGGAAAGCATTCCTTTCGCAGTTGTCGGTTCATGCGAGGTAGTGAGGGACCGCGGGACGCGACCCGTGAGGGGACGCCGCTACTCCTGGGGTACGGTGGAGGGTGAGTGAGGCGGGGCACGCGTTCGGAAGCCAACAGGGAGCCCAGGCCGCCTTCAAGTCAACTCCACCCAACATGTGACGTTGGGGCGAGCTCTCGTCTCGGAGGTCCTAGGAGTCAAAAGAGGGGTCCTTGGGCTGCAGACTGCCGCCGGACTGCAGGCGGACTGGACCCAGCAGGCGGGGCTGGACCGGAAGCTCCCTGACACTCGCCGGTCCGTCCCCCCCCCCTAGTGGAGAACCCACATCACTGCGATTTCCTGAACCTGCGACGGATGCTGGTGCAGACACATTTGCAAGACCTAAAGGAGGTGACACACGACCTGCTCTACGAGGGTTACCGGGCCCGTTGCCTACAGAGCCTGGCTCGGCCTGGGGCGCGTGATCGAGCCAGCCGCAGGTGAGAGCCAAAGCCGACACCCAGGTGCTCCCAAGGCCCGGTCCTCACCATCCCGAGTCTTTTCCCACCCACTTTGCTTACGGGCCTAACCTGAAGGACATGGCCCCACCTCCTAGAGCGCAACCTCGTCCCAGGCCCCGCCTCCTGGTCGTGACCTACACCTTGGGTCCCGCCCTTGATTCCTGTCCCTTTTCCCCATCCCCTAGTAAACTTTCCCGCCAGAGCGCTACAGAGATACCGCTGCCAATGCTACCACTGGCCGACACAGAGAAACTGATCCGCGAAAAAGACGAAGAGGTGAGCAAGCGCCTCGCCTCCCTACCCACCAGGGTCCCCAGTCCCCTTTGAAGTCCCTCCCTGGCCTCGCCCGGCCCCATCGCCGCAATCTTGCCCCGCACAGCTGCGCCGCATGCAAGAGATGCTAGAGAAGATGCAGGCCCAGATGCAGCAGAGCCAGGCTCAGGGCGAACAGTCGGACGCGCTCTGAGGCCCGTCTCCTGTCCAATCCCGGAACCCCAGGCTGCCCCAGCCCCTAATTCCGGAGCACCAGCCTGTAAAGCCGGCCCTTGTACTAGGTTCCGCGAAAACGTTCCCCCAATCCTAGAGTTTGTAGCCCCGCCTTTGGTTCCGCCCCACCCTCCGCCACTTTCGATGCCCTAGCTTCCAGCCTATCCCCTGACCACCCCACCCCCTCCTCTTCTCCCGAGCTGTGTCTTCAATAAAAACTAAGTTTCTCTGCGGCCACGCGAGTCTTCTCTTTCCCAGCGGGAATAAGCGGCGGGTGGGGCCGCTTCACCCAGGCCTCCAGGCCACTATTCATGCCTTGGCCACTCGCTTTGTGTTTCAGCCCTGCCTCCTACCTGAGTCCCTCACAAAAACACCTTAGGCGCCCGCCGATAAGAAACAAAGACCAGTTCAATTTTATTAGAAGTTGGGGTAGGGGGTCGGACTGGCTGAAAGGCGTTGGCCAGCGGAGGCCTAAAGAGGTCCCCTTACTCCTGGTCCTTGGCGTCTCCATGTGTGATGACGTAGCAGATATTCTTGTAGTCCACGTTGCCGCCCACGTCGGGAGGGAAAGCTGCCCACATGTTCTTGATCTGGGCAGATTGCAAGATTGTGTCTCCTACCGGTTCCTTACACTCGCCTCCCCCATCCCTCCACTTCTCCCGGGCCCCTCCCGCACTCACCTCTTCCTGGGAGAAGCGGTCACACTGCGTGGTAAGCAGCTCCTCCAAGCTGGAAGAGGTGACATGCAGGGAGTTTGGGCTTCGCGAGTCCTTTCCACTCCTTCTCACCCCATCCTTGTTGCCATTCCCACTCTCGCCTTGAAAACTTGGGTCACTCTAGCTCCCTCTATTGATCTCCCAAACACTCTGGCTTCCCTGCTTTTGCCCTTTCCCTTGTATGTGCTGCGAAAATGTAATCCTATCTCCCATTCCCACAGTCCTAACTTCTCCCTTACTCTGGCAGTGCCTAACCCTTGGTAGGAATTTAAGGAGGCTTTCTGTGGGTTAGCAGCTGGAGGGGGTCACTTACAACTGCTTCTTGATGGTGCCCTTCCCCTCGGGATCCAGGATCTTGAAGGCTCCAGTGATCACATCCTCAGGGTCCGCACCTGGGGGTCAAAGGGCATAGGAAACCTGAAGGGTCCCTGACAGGTCTGTCCCTGAAAGTTCTGGAAGGGGCAGCTGGGAGCTTGGACCCAGGACACTTGATTCACCTTTGAGCTTCTCCCCAAACATGGTCAGGAAGACGGTAAAGTTGATGGGACCGCTGGCTTCCTTCATCATGGCATCTAGCTCCTCATTCTTCACATTGAGGCGCCCTGAAGCATGGTAGGGGAAGCGTGGGCTGGAGTGGGGTCCTGGGACCCATGGGTGATGCTGCTCATAAATTCAATCATCCCACCCATTTTTCAGCTGGGTAGACTGAGGCCCAGGGTGGAGCCAGCAGGGTTGAAACCCAGGCTGCTGAATTTCCAGGACCCTGTCGCCTTGGACCTTTATGAGTGGGGTGGGGGACTCACCCATGGCTGCAAAGGTGTCCCGCAGGTCTTCCTTGTCAATAATGCCATCACGGTTCTGGTCAATTACCGTGAAGGCCTGTGTAGAGCAGAGGCAGGGAGGGGTTAGGTCCCCAAGACCAGGCTTCAGTGTCCAGGCAGATCAGATTCTGGCCCATGGCCAGCTGTCCTCTTATACCCCAAGCAGGGAGAGGAGCAAGGAATTCTAAACTCTTCCCCTCCCCCTAAAACAGGTGCGCATTGCGGGGGGGGGGGGGGGATGCCTCTGGTCTGCCTTTAGTCTCCTCACTCACCTCCTTGAACTCCTGGATCTGAGTCTGGTCAAACATTGAGAAGACATTGGAGCTTCCGCCCTCTGCCGCTGCCCTTCTCTTGGCTTTCTTGGGTGCCTGCGGGGTGAGGATTGGGCAAAGAGGTCCATGGGCCAGATCCTACTCCTCTCTGGAGGCTATGGCTTAGGTTCGGGTTCTTTGAGTCTACTTTTCTATAGCAATTCTTCTGACTCTAGGCTTCCCGTTTTTATGACCTCTTTGCTGAGAGGGCTTGCTTCCATTGCATCCCCAAATTCCTATCTGTAGCCCTGGAGTCCCATCCGTTCATCCTACCCCACAAGTGGAAGTTTCCTCCCCTTTTCAGAGCCCTGAGCCGGCCTCCTCTGAGCCCTGGACTAGCTATATGACCCTGATCCACTCATTCATCCTATATGAACCTTTATTTTCCCATTTGTAAAATAGGAGTGGGAATCCCTGCCTGGCTGGTCCCAGAGGGTTTTAGATGGAGTGCAGGAAGATACGGAACATGCTTCGAGAAGGACTGGGCTCCTGTGAGTGGAGCGTCTGAGCAGATTCTCCTCGGCTGGGTCCTTTGGGTCACCATTTTATAGGCTTTCCATTAGTGGTACCAAGAAAGGGAGGATTCATCTTTCTTCCTCTGATAGACTGGCAACTAACTACCTTCTTTAAAAGGGTGAGGCTTCCCTGAGGTCTGAGGGATCTGGGCAGGGGCCGGGGGATTCTCACTCACCATGTCGTCAGTCTTCTGGGGACTAGGCAATGGGTCTGGATGGAAAGGATCGAGAGAGTCAGCCGGTGGCAGTCCCTCTGGGGTTATATAGTCCTGCCCCAGGGAGCCCTTAACATACCAAGGTAACCTTAGCTCTGCGGATACCCACCCCAGATACCAAAATAGCCCAGCTCAGGGCCTCTCCTTTCTTAGAGGGCCCATAGAAGCTGGGCCAGGGAATCCAGGGAGGGAGGGAGAAGGGAGTGAGTCTTGGGATGCATGCCTCACTAGGGCCCAGGCAGGAAGGGATGTTCTTTCTCTCAAAAAGGGGCTGGAATGTGTCAGAGTTCAAAGAGGGCCCAAGCTGGGGTACAGTGCTGGAAAAGAGATGAACCAGGCCCATCTATCCCTGAGTGGGGTGGGCCCAGATTTAAACCCAGTAAATTGAGCACCTATAGTGTGCCAGGCACTGTGCTGTGCATTATGGGTGCACTTTGGGGGTACACTTTGACAAAAACAACCCCTCTCCCATGTGGAGTTCAAGGTCAAGTGTGTGTATGTGGGGGGGCAGAGTTTAAAGGTGGGAGAGAGCTGTCTGAGGAAACTGAAGGGTCAGAAAGGTCTTCGGCACCCCCTTCAAGGAGAGGGAGGATTTTGTGAGGAGAGATGCAGAGGTAGGAATAGATTAGACAGCCTGGTGCAGAGAGCATGCTCTGTGATCGTGGGCTTTGTGCTTCAACTCCCTGGGCCTTGGTTTCCCCCTCTATAAAATGAGAATGTAGTTCCCCTCCCACAAAACTTGTGGATGTGAATACTACTTGGAAACAATTTAGTGAAATATAACATAATTAATATTTAGGCCCTGCCTTGGTGGAACTTACAGCCCAACCATGGAGACAAGATAAATACTGTGATAGAAGCAGAAGGCACAGCAGCCCTTTCTGGGAGCATGGGAATGACTACGAGGCCAGTAGAAGTGAGTCAGGTGAGAGTGGAGGAACAGGTGTGCTAAGCAGAGGGCATGGATGCGCAGAGGTCTGGAGAGTGTTAGGGCTGCCAGAATTGTAACAGGGCTTGAGCAGAGGATGTAAGGGGCTTGAAACCAGACACTGGAGGGCCTTCAATGCTAGGCTGAGGGCTGAGAGCTTGGGAGCCTTGGAAAAGTTTGAATCAGGAGAAGGACATGGCCTGGTATGAGTCTATAATAATTTCTTTGGATACTGGTGTGGAAGTTAGAACTCAGAGGAAAGGAGTCAGAAACACCAAGAGGGAAACTGGTTGGTCGCCTCCTCTTGGTTGACTGGGATGGTCAGTGACTTCTCTATCCATTCTGGGCAAGAACCAGCTGGGCTGACTGTGACTTTAAGGTACCCTCTCCCATCCCTCTAGGGCTCAGTGCCCCAGTCCTCTTCATACAGTGGTGGTCTGGGGCAATAGTGGCTGAGGAAACCCAAGGAGGCCCAAGGTTGGCAATGACACACATCTACTCCTCCTGCTCCCTCTAGGACCTGATGTCCTGAGCAAGGTGCTTCCTCCCCTTGCCCTCCTCCAGCCTCATGCCAATGCCTCTAAGACATTTTCTTTTCTGGGCACTGGGGCCCAGCCACCTGTTGTCACTAAGAAGAGAGAAGGAGCCACCCTAAACTTAGCAGCTGCCCTTGGCCTCCTGACTGGCCCCTCCCTGCCTCTTTCAACAGCTGCCTCCCCTTATAAGGTTACCCTGGGGGTCTAGGCCCAGGGAGGAGCCCACTTTTTTTTTTGGTAAGATTTTATTGGGGAATTGGGGGAGGGGAACAGCTTTGGGGACTCGGGGAAGGGGAACAGACAAGTTGCTGTCTTTTTGTTCTTCAGTCTAGTTGTGAAGGACGTTGCTTCACTGGACCATGTTGGTGTTATCATTGTGCTGTTCCTGGTGAGGCAGTCGCTCGCCGGCCATTGGACGGCCGCTCATGGTGGCTCATGGTGGCTCACGGTGGCTCACAGCAGCTCATGAAAGCGCACGCCAGCTGCCGGCCAGCCCCACCGCAGCCTACACCGCCGCCGCGGTTGACTCACAGCAGCCCAGCTCCAGGTCAAGCTGTTGTTCACCATCTTAGCTGTAGAGGGCGCAGCATCACTGGCCCTCATATGGTATCCAAACCCAGGCCCTGCTGCTCAGAGCTGGAGTCCCAAGCCAACTCTTTTTTTTTTTAAAGATTTTATTGGGGAATTGGAGGAGGGGAACAGCGCTGGGGAATCTGGGGAAGAGGAACAGACAAGTAGCTGTCATTTTGTTCTTCAGTCTAGTTGTGGAGGACGTTGCTTCAATAGCCCATTTTGGTATCATTGCGCTCTTACTGGGTGAGGCAGATCAGTCGCCAGCCTCTGGACGTCCACTCATGGTGGCTCTTGGCAGCTTACACCAGCTGCCAGCTGCTCACGTTGGCTGCCAGCCACACACAGTAGCTTATGGCAGCCCACAGCAGCAAGGGCTGCGGCCTATGCTGTTGCCGGTGACTCACAGCAGCCCAGCCCCAGATTGAGCTATTGTTCACCATCTTAGCTGTAGAGGGCAGTGTCACTTGCCCCCATGTGGGATCCGAACCTGGGCCCTGCTGTTTAGAGCTAGCGTCCCAAGCTCTTAACCAACGTGCCACTCGGCCAACCCCCAAAGCCAACTCTTAAGCAACATGCCACTCGGCCGGCCCCGAGGAGCCCAATTCTTACTGGGTTCTGGGAGAAGAGGAAAACTCCAGAGACAGGGATGGGGGAAATGTTCAGGAAGCTTGGGTCCACTGGGGAGTGGGGAAGTTGAGATCAGCATTGGTATATATCTCAGACACTGTGAGTTCACAGGGTCTGGGTCTGAGGAGCCTCGGAGAACTCAGAAACCATGGAGGAACTGGGAAGTTGGGAGTTAGGCCCATCTGAAATTTCAGGATGGCGGACTCTGTATGGAAATCAGGGCCCTCTAACCCTGGGACTCTGGGGGATGGAGGTTAGAGGGAGAAGGGGCTCATAAAGTCAGGACTTTGTGGTCTAGGATAGCCTAGGGAGCTCATAGGATGGGGGTCTGGTTTCTTAGCAGAAAATGAGGAGCAGAGAGAAGAGTGGCAATGTGGGGATAGGTGTTGATGGAACACGTCTTGGATCCCCTCAAAAATAAGAACACGGATATAGGAGTTCATGGTACTGAGAATTCATAGTTTGGGGTCTGGGATCTAGAATGGGGCACACTCAGATGAGATCTGAAGAATTGGAGCCTAGATTCCGGGGAGGAGCTGATAGATGGGGGCTGAGGAGAGGAACTTGGGGCTTAGGATTCTGGGAGGAAATGGTGGACCCTAAGAGATGGGTCATTTAGAGGATTTGGGGACTCTGGTTATAGTCACCTGGGCTTGAAGTGTTGGAATTGGTTGCGGACGGTAATGAGAATCAGAGACAGAGTGGAGGTTGAGAGCACTGGATAAGCATACTGCATCAGGACACTGGTAGGGCTTGATCTCACAGACGACCAGAGTGGGGGCGCTCAGAAGCGCGGAGCTCTTATTGGCTAAGGGCTGCACTAATGCCCCTGGCCCCCGTCCTTTCACCGCGCTATCCCCAACTGTCACCCACTTCCCGCGCTTGTCTCCGGTTGTCACAGATATCCCTGGTCTTGCACCGCCTGCTGGCAGCACCCCTACCCTTTGAGTGCTGCCATTGGCTGAGACAGCTGTCTTACTTTCCTGTTGCTAAAGTAAGAGAATGCCCTCATTGGCTGATTAGGGTAATAAATCGCAAATTTGACACCTCCTGCCCCGCCCCCCTCCCATCTGCCATTCATTTCTTCCTGACCATCTTGGGAGACCTAAAGAATGCCTCATCTCTTTCTATTGACTGCGGATTCTGTCTGTCACCTTCCAAATAAACGTCACTGTCTGTCAATTTGACCTCCGCCTGCTCCCCTTTTCATTGGCTCCTTTTTTATCGTACCCATTAGCCAGACCCGCCTCTTCTCGCACAGCACCCACCTCCTTCCGCGATCGTTCACTCTTCAGTTAATTTTGTTGGCCAGAAGGCTCAGCTTCCTGCTTTTCTATTAGTTACTTCCTTTATCCCGCCTCCTTCTGCCTTCACTCGCCCTCTCATTGGTCCTCCGCCTTCTCCGTTTCCTCTTTCAGCTTCCCTCCCCCCATACACCTCCTTCCCACCTCCAAACCCACCCACCCTTCCAACGATTGGTAGAAACTCAGTTCCCTCTCTCCTATTATTCGTCCAAGCCTCCTGACGAGGCGGGAGCTAAAAGGAGCGCGATGACATCGCCGGCGCGCAGGCGTGAAACGCTGAAACGTTGGCTGCTTCGCCGGTACCCGGGCTTGTGCGCAGGCGCGAGGTCAGCCGCTCGCCCGAAGCCGGAGGGAGGGGGCGGCGGCGAGACGGCGCTAGGAGTGAGAGGGCGCCAGCAAGACTCCGGAGCCCGGCGCCCGGGGCCCCCAGCCCCGCCTCCGCGTGCCTGGCGGTCGCCCTCGCTCCGCTCCTGCCCCCGGCGCGCGCCGGGCCGCGCCCTTCACCTTCTCCCCTTCCTTGGCGGGCTGCGCTGAGCGGCCTGAGGGGCGGCGCCTCTTGCGGCCGTCCCGACGGGGGGGATGTGAGAGGCGGCCCGCGGCCATGGAGACGGGCCCGGCGCCCCTGGTGGCCCCGCCGCGCCGTCATGGCGCCTCCGCGGCCCCCTCGCCGCCGCCCCGCGGCTCCCGGGCCGGGCCCGTCCTTGTGGTGGCTCCGGGACCGCCAGTGACCATGGCCACTTCGGCCCCGGTCACCCTGGTGGCACCCGGGGAAGCGCAGCCAGCTTGGATACAGGGGCCGGCCCAGACCTCGGCCCCGGCCCCGGTGGCCACGGGCAGCACGGTAGTGGTGCTAACTCTGGAGGCCTCACCTGAAGCCCTGAGAGCGCAGGTCTCCCCCGACCCAGAGCCCCTGGTGTCCGCGGAAGTCGAGACGTCGATGGCTCTGGCCCCAGGAGTAGACTCTCCGAAGATGGAGGAGGCTAAAACCTCATCCACCCCTGGACCAGGGACCCCCACCAGGACCCCTTCCAGAGCGGTTTCTGAGGCCCTGACCGCCAAACCCCCGCTTGCCCCCAAGCCGGGAACCACAGTGGCCTCAGGAGTGACTGCGCGGGCTGCAGCAGTGATCGCAGGACAGGTGATAAGTGGACACGGAGCTGCAGCAGCAACATCAGCATCAACGGGACAGGCTCCAGAGGACTCCTCAGGGCCTGGCACAGGCCCCCCAGGGACATGTGAGGCTCTGGTCGCTGCTGTGACGGTGACCCCTGCTCCAGAGCCTGCCGAAAACTCTCAGGACCTAGGCTCCACGTCCAGCCTGGGACCTGGCATCTCTGGACCTCGGGGGCAGGCCCCAGACACTCTGAGCTACTTAGACTCCGTGAGCCTCATGTCTGGGACCTTAGAGTCCTTGGCTGATGATGTGAGCTCCATGGGCTCAGATTCGGAGGTCAATGGGCTGGCCCTGCGCAAGACGGACAAGTATGGCTTTCTCGGTGGCAGCCAGTATTCGGGCAGCCTGTGAGTACCCATTGGGCACCAAGTGGGCCTGCTTCTCGGAAGCAGAGGTTGGGGGAGGGGGAAAGATGCACTTTGCCCAGACTCTGGTGGCCCAGCCTCCTCTGAGGAACTGGGGGTGATTAGTGGGAGTGGGACACTGGACAAGCCCTACCATACCTAGAGCATCCTGAAGTTTCTGGGCACTCACACATTTGGGAGAGTTTCAGACCAGGTATCAGGAGTTCTGGTTTTGAGCCTAAGCCTTGCTTTTGATGTGCTGCGTGCCCTTGAGCCAGTGTCTTCCACATTTCCGTGCCTCAGTTTCCTCAAGGAAGTGAAACGTTGAATGAGATGATTGATGTGAAACTCCAGCCGTGGGCCAAATATTCTGGAGAGCTGGTTGGGCAGGGGTCCTGGTAGAGATCTTTGGTCCTTTAGGGGGAAAGCGTCTGGGAGTGATGGAGGCGTCTGGCCTTCCTCACAGCCCTCTGTCTAATGGAGGGGAGACCCTGAAGGCGGAGCCCCTCTTCCAAACAGAGAAGGGCAGTCTTGTGTTTTCACTGAGAGAAAGGGGGTGGAGGAGGCCTCTTCCCCATTTCCTCATCTCCCCAACCTGGCTTACTCTTTCCTAGTTCCTTCCAGGGGCGTGAGTCACTCCTGAGGTGGGGGTATGATCACCTATGACTTCTTCCTTTCCTCTCTTTGGATCCTGCCCATTGTTCTTGTACCCCTTTAACCTGCTAGTCAGCTCAGCATCACCGGAGCACCCAGGTGGCAGGCCCTGTACTGGATATTTAGGAGGAAATAACTGTTTCGAGATGGTCCTCATCTAAAGGGAGAAAAAATAGTTTCAATCTGTATATGTTAGGTTTTGCCTAGAGATCATGGCAGGGTTTTGTGAATTCCTCGGGAAGGGATCTTTTGCTCAGTCTGGGAATCTAACTAAAGCTGATCTGAATCGTGAAGAATGAGGAGAATCTAGTCATGGCTGGGGTTAGGGAGACCTGCCTGAGGTTGGGGTGAGTCCTGTGGGAGAGCTTTCTGGGCAGGGTTTATAATGCAACAAACTTGTAGCGGCTCCCCGCTGGCCACAGGATCAAGTCCAAGTGCTTTGACCTGCACACAGGCTCCTTGTCTGGCTCTACAGCCTCTTTGGCTTTGTGTCCCACTGTTCCTCAATGTGCACTTAGTGCTGTGGCGCTGCTGAACTGAGTCATACTCAGGCCAGGAATGCCTTTCTCCCCCTTCTTTTTCTGCTAAGTTCCACTCCAATCTTTCAGGGCTGACCTCGATGTCGCCTCCTCCAGGAAGCCTTCCATGGTATCCACTGCCCCTGCTCCGGTGAGGTGCCTCTCCTGTGCAGTTTTGTCACTGCATTTTCCACACCATATTTTCATTACCTCCCCTGCTGACTTGTGATCTTCTTGAGGGCAGGAAAGATATTTTACTCTTCCTGGCCTTTGGCAGAGTTTGGAACTGACTTAGGATAGAGACTGAGAGAGGCTCTCTGTTTAAGGCACTTCTAGGACAAAAGAAATTAATGTTTAATGAGACCTATTTACTAGTCCTTGATACACAGTTTCTCAATAGTCCTCTCATAACTTTGTGATGTAGGTGGTGATGTCCCTTTTTACAGTTTAGGAAGAGACTCAGGTTATCTTACCAAGACGTCCCAGCTTCTAAGGGACAGCACTGGGATGTGAGGTCAGGATTGTCTGGAAACCCAAGCTCACTCTTCCATTCCCTTCACCTGGTGCTGCTCCTACAAGTAACTGTTTCCAGACTGATGGGATATCTTGAATGTCAAGCTCTTACAGAACAGTGGGCAGAGTGCAAGGAAAGCTTCTTGGGAATCGGGTGATTTCAGGGAGGAGGAGGTAGAGGGAATTGCAGATGGCCCAAGGGATCTCAAGAGTCTGATAGAAGGAGACACAGAAGTATATTTGTTCTGTATTTTATTTTATGGATAATACTTGCTATGACGTACTATACTCTTGCTGTGTGTTATCTCATATAACCTCTCAGGTAGATACTGTTTTTCTCTCCATCTTACAAATGAGGACGTTGAGACTTAGAGGAATTAAGTGACTTGCTCAAGGTCACACAGGGAATAAGTGGTACAGATGGAACTTGGATCCAGGTCTGATGCAAAGTGTGGTTTTAAATACTGTCCCTAAACTTACATGTCAGAAGTGGGATTTAAACATACTTCTATATAGAGATCCAACGTGAGGACACAGTCTTTGTACACAGATTCCTTCCAAAGGGAAGAAGTCCCTTCAGGGCGGTTAAGTTGGACCTGGGGTGGCCCAGTGGCCGGACTCCCTGCTGTTTGGCAGCTCAGAAGATGCTTTTATGGCCAGTCTCTCATTTGAGCCTGGGGAGGTGGCTTGCCCCCAATCCAGTTACCCCCAATCCAGGTTTTATGTTTCTGCTATTGACCCCTTCCATGTTCTCCCCCTACCACCCCCAATCCTGCAGAGAGAGTTCCATTCCCTTGGATGTGGCTCGGCAGCGGGAGCTCAAATGGCTGGAGATGTTCAGTAACTGGGATAAATGGCTTTCACGGCGTTTCCAGAAGGTTTGAGAAGGCTGAGTGGTGGGCAGGGGCAGGGTGGGCCCCTGTGCTTGGGGGAAGCCCAGGGTCATGATGGTATCTGCTCTCTGGACCCCTTGGGGGCAAGTGGTATTGGGACCTGGAGGGAGGAGTAGCTTTAGAGATAGAAGGCCAGGCCAGGTCTAGTGGAGTTAAGCCTATGGGATGTGGCAGGGGTGTCCGGGGAGCCTGAGCCCCGCTGGGGAAAGCTTGTAGGCGGGGCCAGCCCCTGATGCCATCCTCCTGCCTGCCACTCTGCTGTAGGTGAAGCTGCGCTGCCGGAAGGGGATCCCCTCATCCCTCAGAGCCAAGGCCTGGCAGTACCTGTCCAACAGCAGGGAGCTCTTGGAGCAGAACCCTGGCAAGTTTGAGGTGCGTGCAGGCTGTGGGGATAGGTGACACTGTCTGTGTGAAGGGTCTCGTCAGTCGTCCCCCCCAGATACTGAGGTGACGCTGCTGTTCCCCTGCAGGAGCTGGAACGGGCTCCCGGGGACCCCAAGTGGCTGGATGTGATTGAGAAGGATCTGCACCGCCAGTTCCCTTTCCACGAGATGTTTGCTGCACGAGGGGGACATGGGTAAGGTGGCCTGGAGTGCGGGTCAGTCAACAGGTGTCTGGGGACGGCTCTAGGTGGATTCAGGGTTGGGTGCAAAGCAGCCATGCTTTCCAGGACTTCTAGACCGGTCCTTACTGGGTTGATTGTCAGGCCATACTGAAGAAAGTGGCCTAGGAGGGAGACTGACTTGGGGATCGGGGCTGCTGTTGTGGAGGGAGGGGAGACACATCAAGGGCTCACTGAAGAGGTTGCATTTGAGCTGGTTTTGAAGGATAGACAGGAGCAGAGCAGGGGGCAGGTTTTTCCTGCCTGGGGGGAGGGTACGTCAGCTATGTGGGCATTGGGGTGGGGTAGAGCTGAGGCTGGAGGAGCAGTTCAGGCCAGATCACCAAGGGCCCTTCACTGCTGTGCCAAGGCACTTGGGTTTTGGTTCTGTGCGCCAGGCTTCCTCAAGATGCATACATACTGCTCCCCAGTCTTGTGCAAGATGGTCTTAGGTGCTTCTCAGATGGATGTTTTTTGTCAATAAGTTCATTCTTTCAGCAGATGTGTATCGAGCACCTTCTATCTGCCACGCACTGTTCTAGTCACAGATGACAGCAGTGAATGAGAGACAAAAACTTTTGCCTTCGTAGGGCTTAGTATATTTTATTGAGGATAGACAATAAGATGAAGAAGGAAAGTATGTGAAATGGTGGTAAGCATTATTATATAGAGGAGTGTAAAGTGAAGGGATAGAGAATGTGAATGGTGATTGGGGTTACAAGTGACCCGATATGATTTATATTTTAAAAGGATCATTCTGGCTGCTGTGCTGAGAATAGCCTATAAGGAGACGAGGGCAGAAGCCGAGAGACCAGTTAGGAGACTGTTTGCATAATCCAGAAGAGAGATGATGATAGATAGACCAGGATGGTAGCAGTGGAACTTTGGGGAGAAGTGGCTGGATTCTGGATCTGTTTTGAAGGTAGAGTTGAAAGGAATTGACAGTGGATTAGATGTGGTGTGTGAGAGAGGAGTACCGATGACTCTTAAGGTTTTTGGCTAGGAGGATGGATTTGGGGAAAGAGAAGGTCTTGAGGTTCTATCGGGAGCTCAGTTTTGGAATATGTAGTTTGAAACGCTTAGTGGACAGCCAGGTGGAGAAGTCAGGTGGTTGGATGTACACTATATACAATTCTGGATTTCGGGGAGAGGTTTAAACTGGAAATAAGTTGGAAATGGAAAAGCTGTCAGCCTCTAGATGGGCTGTATCTCCCCCATGGACTGGACGAGGTCGTCAAGGCAACAAGTGCAGATATGAAAGGAAGTTTCAAGATTGAGTCCTGCAGCTCCAGTACTTAAAGAATGAGAAGATGAGAAAGAACCAGGAAAGTGGACTGGAGGAGAAGCTGGAGGGGTAGAAGGAAAACCAGGAGGTGTGATTCCTGGAAGCAGAGTGAAGCGGAGTTACAGGACCAGCTGTATGAAATGCTGCTGATGGGCCAAGTGAAGTGCAGCTGCAAATTGCCCTCTGGACTTGGCACTGTGGAGGCTGTTGGTGACCTTGATCAAAGCAGTACTGTGTGGAGCTGTGGGTTAAAGTCTGATTGGAGAATGGGAGGGAAGAAATTGAAGACAGTCTGCTCTGGAGGAGTTGTGCTGAATAGGTAAGGAAAGAAGGTGTGGTATGTGGAGTGGAAAGTGTGGTCAGGAGCCTTTTTAAGCTAATAGCAGATGTCAGTATGCCAACGGGAATGACCGAATAAGGAGAGAACAGATGCTGCAGGAGAGATGGCCTGTGTGGGCAAGAGGGGTGGGCCCAGTGCCCAGGTGGACAGACTGTGCTTGGGCAGGATCGCAGACCGTTCACCCATAGCAATGGGGGAGGCAGGGCACAGACGCAAGTGAGATTAGGTCAGATAACTGGTGTAGCGAGCTGTCACTTCATGGATTCTATTGCAAAGTGGAGGAAAAATAGCAAGGAAATGGTAGGAGTAGTATGCAGGTAAAGTTTGTGTTTGGGAAGCACTACTGTACGCAGTGGTCAGGCGTATGTGTGTGTCTGGGTGCAGGGAAAGAACCTGGGAGGCAGTTACTTGTTTCTGGGTAAGAGGCGAAGGTCTGAACTGTGAAGTGGCTGTGGAGGGGAAGAGGAGGAACACATGTGAATGGAACTCGGCTGTAGTGTCGCTAGGACTTGGTGACTAGCCGTGTGGAGTGAAGGCAGGCTCTGTCTTCTGACAGCTGAGTGGATTCCCAGCACAGCAATAGGGCACCCTCAGGGAAGAGGGACAGGTGGGGCAGAGATGTATCTTTACTCCTTTGGATGCAGAGGCAAGAGAAGGGTCTGAGGCCCAGCTGGCTTCCCGAGCCTTAACCAAGAGCCAGGGCCCATTGGACACGCTGGGGGGAACTGATGAAATCCTGAGAGACAGAAGAGGCAGGCCCTGCCCTGGGAGAGCTCCTCCCTGGGGTGATACAAGCGTTCAGACAGTGCTAGATGAGGACTGAGGCTGCAGATACCGAACACTTCCTGAAGCAGATGACCTTGAAGGCTTATGGGATGCTGGCAGATGGAGGAGGGAGAGAGCATAGACTGTGCTGGGGAATGTCCTGGAGCCTGGAATGCTTTGATTGTGGTCTGCCTCTGGCTTAAGCCTGATGGGCAGGACCAGGAAGGGGCGGGGCGGGGATGCAGGTATGTGGTGGGGAAGCTCTCAGGTTTGTCTGGAGCTGGATCTTAGTGGGTTCTGGGGGGGTGCGCAGGTTGAGTTTGGGGCTCAGAGCTCCCAACTCGTGTGGTTACCTGCAGGCAACAGGACCTATACCGAATCCTGAAGGCTTACACCATCTACCGGCCCGACGAGGGCTACTGCCAGGCCCAGGCCCCCGTGGCCGCCGTGCTGCTCATGCACATGCCTGCTGAGGTCAGCACCCTGGGCCCTGGCTGGGGGTGCTGGGAGGACACCTGGTGCTGGCGGGGGCGCTTCTTGGCCCGATTCTCAGGCCCTATCCCCCACTCCTGCTCTTGCCCTTCTCAGCAAGCCTTTTGGTGCCTGGTGCAGATCTGCGACAAGTACCTCCCTGGTTACTACAGTGCAGGGCTGGTGAGTGTCTGGGCTTGGCACCGGGGCTGTGACTCTTCCCCAAGCACAGGGAGGTCCTTGTCCCACCCCGTCCCTCTGTCCCTCTGTGTGGGGCTCTCTCAGTGAGGTCTGACCCCACGGGGGCTACGCGGGCCTCTCCTTACGGCTAGTCCACCTCCAGGAGGCCATCCAGCTGGACGGTGAAATCTTCTTTGCTCTATTGCGCCGGGCATCCCCGCTGGCTCACCGGCACCTGCGGCGGCAGCGCATTGACCCCGTGCTCTACATGACGGAATGGTTCATGTGCATCTTCGCCCGCACGCTGCCCTGGGCCTCCGTGCTGCGCGTCTGGGACATGTTCTTCTGCGAAGGTGCGAGCCTGTTGGGCTGTGAGGGACAGGGTTTCTGCGGGGCCGCCCAGGGGCTGGCCATTGACCTAAGGTGCTTGGTGGGCCTGCTCTCAGCTCTGCCGCCAACCCGGAGCCTGAAGCCCCTGGCAGCTCATTTCCTTGTTGGGCCTTAGTTTCCCCACCTGTAAGGTTGGCAGTAGGCAACGTGGGGCAGAGGCCCTCCTAACCAGAAGGCTGGGACCCCAGGCTCCATCCCCCCGCTGTCTCCTTTCGGCCGCAGGCGTGAAGATCATCTTCCGGGTGGCCCTGGTGCTGCTGCGGCACACTCTAGGCTCCGTGGAGAAGCTGCGCGCCTGCCAGGGCATGTACGAGACCATGGAGCAGCTGCGCAGCCTGCCCCCGCAGTGCATGCAAGAGGACTTCCTGGTGCATGAGGTAGGTAGGCCTTGGCCTTGGCTCAGCCCCACCTGCTGCAGGCCAGCAGCACCTGCCACCCCACCACTACCACCACCCCCGGCATTGCATCTGGCACCCATTTCTCCATCCAGGTGACCAACCTTCCAGTGACAGAAGCACTGATTGAGCGCGAGAACACCACCCAGCTCAAGAAGTGGCGGGAAACCCGAGGGGAGCTGCAGTACCGGCCCTCCCGGCGACTGCACGGTTCCCGGGCCATCCACGAGGAGCGCCGGCGACAGCAGCCCCCCCTGGGTCCCTCCTCCAGCCTCCTCAGCCTCCCTGGCCTCAAGAGCCGAGGCTCCCGGGCAGCTGGGGGGACTCCCTCTCCTCCCGCTGCTGCCCGCAGGGCCAGTGCTGGGCCTGCCCCTGGGCCTGTGGTCACCGCGGAGGGACTGCGTCCATCTCTTCCGTCACCTACTGGCAACAGCACACCACTGGGTCCCAGCAAGGAGACCCGGAGGCAGGAGAAGGAGCGGCAGAAACAGGAGAAGGAGCGTGAGAAGAAGGAGCGGCAGAAACAGGAGAAGGAGCGGGAAAAACAGGAGAAGGAGCGGCAGAAGTGGGAAAAAGAGCAGAAGGAGCAGCAGAAGCAGGAGAAGGAGCGGCTGAAGCAGGAGAAGGAGCAACAGAAGCAGAAGAAGTCCCAAGGCAGGAAGCTTTCGCTGCGTCGGAAGGCAGATGGGCCCCCAGCCCCCCAGGATGGCGACGACCGGTCCTCGGCATCTGAGGCCCACCAGGACGCTTACTTCTGACCTCTGCCCTGGGGCTGGACTGCATGGCCCCCCTTTTTCCCCTTAGCCAAGAGCAGGCCCCTGGGCCGGCTGTCCTTTTCTGGGGAAGGTGGCTTGGTTCCTGTCTCCTTGCCAGCTGCTGACCCTGCAGCCAGGACGGTCAGTGCATGGGGCAGCTGCGTTCCCTGGAGCAGCCGTTAACACAGGTCTGGGGCCCACACCTGCACATAGGCCCAGCTGGGGTGTTTGTCACTCCTGCCCCGGTTTCCTCTGGGGTCCCTTCGCAGGGATTGTCCTGATTGGCCTTCTGTCATCACAGGGGTGACTCCTGGCTATGGGAGTCAGCAGTTTTCAGATTCTTACACTCCTGTTGCTCCCCTCATTCATGAAGTGGAGCTGAGTCCCTTTCCCTTCTTCTGCCCTGCCTGTCTCCACATCCTGGCTGGGGCCCAATGCCCTCCTTGTTCAACACCTGGATATGTCTGGGTTGTAATGACGTACAGAGGACCTGGTCGGCCCAGGGTGGGGTGTTTGCTCTGTCTTCTGTCCTTCAGTTCTTCCATGGTGTTCTTGAACTCTGATTTATTTAATGGGACATGCACTGGATAGGAAATGTCCCCCACTCCTTGCTCTCCTTCCTCTGTATTCTCAGGCTCCCCCTGCTTTGTCTCACTAGGGCCCACACCTGTCACCGTGTTCCCTTCCAATTCTCCAGCCCCTCTTTGGGAAAGGGGTCTTCCCTTAAGCTCCCGGGGATGGGACCCAATGTTTACATTCTCTTCTGTCTCTGCCCCCACCCGATGCGGCGCTTTGAGAAACCAGAAAAGAACCTGCTGTTATACCTGGGCCTGTCTCCTACCTGTTATTTGATGCAGGGCGTTAGAATGAGAAGTAAGGACTGAAAAAGCAGCTAGTGAGCCAGAATCAACTAAAGCCGTCAGCTGGTCTTGGCAGTAGGTACCTCTCGGCCTTTGGTCCATCTCTCATTCATCAAGTTGTTGAGCTCCTGCTCCACCTTTTCTGGGATCTGCTGTCTCCACTGTCAGTGACCTGACGCCCTCTGCAGATCACCTGCAGCCCCCAGATGTCCTTCCCAAAGTGCTTGTGCAACTCCTGGGAGCTGGAGTGGGAATGGAAGGTGGCTAGAAAGCCACAGTCCTGGGGTGAGCTGGGCTCTCTTGGCCCGCTGCTTATCACAGCTCCCAAGACTTGGCCTCCAGGGAGTGGCCACCTGCCTCCAGCCAGAGCCCACAGCCAGGCTGCCAGCTCCTGGTTTTCTGCTGCCAGCTCGTAGGCCTGTCCACCTTCTGCACTGTCTACCTCAGGGGTCAGGAGGTAAAGGCACAGGGATTGGTCTGTGGCCCCACAGCGTGGCTCCACCTGGCAGTTCTCCAACAGGATGAGGTCGGGTGTGTGGTCTGCCTTGTGCTCCTGGTACAAGTTTCCCCAGAGGAGGAACCAGTGGTACCAGGAGCTGGTATTTTGGGCCCCTTTCTTTAGCAAGATGCCCTTGCCGTCTGGAGCCAGTGTTCTGCACCCATGAAAGAAACTGCAGTTTCATGGTAGTCCAGTATGGGAGGAAACACTAGGGGAGGAGACTGGGGAGTTGGGGGGATCATCACCTTTCCCTGGGGACTCCCATGCTGCCCTCTGATAGTTCCAGTAGGCTCTTCCTGGGTACAACGTTAGCCTAGTGGGATTCAGACTCCAAGTGTTCTCAAATACTAGAGGTCTTGTCCCCACAGCATGGGGACCCACTCCTTCCATGCCAGATTACAGCCTGGGCAGGGGCCTAAGTGGGGGGACATTGAGAGCAGCTCTGCTGCATTTTTCCAGGCCTACTTGAGATCAGGGCATGAGGGGCGTCTGGCCTGTGTACTGGGCACAGGTGCCACTGCCACCTCTCCCGTGATGGCTCTTCCCACTTCAGAAACCAGGAACTAGCCTAGGGGATAGGTGGGAGGGGGCAGGTAGTGGTGGTAAATGATTCCCCGGGGTCCTAAAGGGAGCTGGGTTCGAAAAGCGCCCCACGAGCGGCCTGGAGCCTCTGGGCAGGCCATCAGGAGAGCCAGTCTTTCCCTCCGGGAGAACAGCAAGGCTGCACCTCGAACTAGGAGCGGGCAGACAACTGGACGCTGAGAGCGGGAAGGCCAGATTTCTTCTGCGATAGGGGCGCAGAGCCTTGGCCAGCCCTTGGGAAAGGTGACGCAACCCCGGAAAGGGAAACTAGGGCAGGAGCCCACTGACCCTGCTCGGATTTTGGCCCCCACCGTGACTCTCGGCGCTCCTGATTAGATACAACGCCCTCCACTTTCTCCCCAGCGCCTCTACGGCTGTGGGACACCCCTCCACTTCCGGTCATCCCAACACTTCCGGCCACCCCTGCGTCCCATCATGGCCTAGGCGTTCTCAAGTCCCCTCTGCTCGCCGTTCCTTGTCACGCAGCTCCAGTCGCTCCGAGGGGTGTGCCTTCTCCGGCTCCCCTCGGACTTCCGCTCGCTCTTGCAGTTAGTCTTCTCACCAGAGTGAAGCCACTTCCGGTCTTCCTGGCGCCTTCCGCAGTTTTCTTCCGGGTGTGGCGGGCCGGTGCCCCGGATGTAACCCTGGCGAAAGCGTCCCTCGTTTCCTTCCCCCGCCTTCCCTGGGTCCTTAGGTGAGTGCACGCCGGTGGGACTGCTGGCATCCCTGGGGCTCCGCCGCCTCTCGTGTGTACACATAGCCCTGGACAGGTGGTGGTCCCGCAGAATTGGGAGTTTCGCGCGGGGAGAAGCGGGGCGGCCAGGACGCAAGGGCTGGGTCCGCCCGAGCCTCACGGGCTCCGAGGGAACTGGCAGTGGGGGAGCGGTGTCAGCCCGAGCATCCGCGTCGCGCCCAGGATGCCGGGGCCGGGAATGGGGGTGGTCTCGTGGGGGAGCTGGTCGAGGTGCCCATGGGGGGGCTCCTCTGCGCTTCCATCTCTCAGACTCTACTCCATCACGTCTTTCGGATGCCAAACCAGGTCCCAGGACCTCTTGACTGCCACCTCCCTTTTTGGCCCCTATTTCTGTGCTGCCTCCCCTCTCACACTGGATCTAGTCGGTACCGGGGGAAATGTTTGCAGTGCTGGGGGCCCTCTCGTGGCGAATCTTCTCCTCGTCGAGCTCCCTTAACCTGCACCCTTTCTCTAAGCTCAGCGTGAGGCAGGTCCTTCGGTACAGCCATGCCAAAGAGGAAGGTGACCTTCCAAGGTGTGGGAAGTGAAGATGAAGAGGATGAAATCAGTTTCCCCAAGAAGAAGGTGAGGGGGCCAGACTCCTGCATTCTGGAGAGGAGCGAGGGGGAGAAGGAACTAGGAGCCAGAAGAGGGAAAAAGCATGGGGGACAAAGAAAGGGGAGAGAGGACTAGCTTTTTCCATGTTGTCTGAGAAATGGGTTTGGGAGTTTTTCAGTTTGAGTTCAGATCCTAGCGCATTTTGAGGGCTTGCTAGTAACCTGCGTCTCTCGACTGGCTGGCTCCTGTTCACAGCTGGTGGACCCTGTGGTGGGGGCTGGAGGGCCTGGGAGCCGCTTCAAAGGCAAACACTCTTTGGACAGCGACGAGGAGGATGATGATGAGGAGGGGTCCAGCAAATATGACATCTTGGTCTCAGAGGATGTGGAAGGTGAGCTCTACCCAAGCACTGACCCTGCTTGGGGAACAGACGGGCTTCTGGGAGTGTGGGCAATGGCTGCTTCTGTCTTTCTCACATGCCTAGTGTGAGCTGCCTGTGTTTGGTGCAGGTCAAGAAGCAGCCACGCTCCCCAGCGAGGGAGGTGTGCGGATCACACCTTTCAATCTCCAGGAAGAGATGGAGGAAGGCCATTTTGATGCAGACGGCAACTACTTTTTGAACCGAGAAGCTCAGATACGAGACAGCTGGCTGGATAACATCGACTGGGTGTGGCTTGGGCTGGTGTGGCCGGGCCGGAGGCAGCAGGGGCTCGGGCTGTGCTGTCAGGTTATAGAAAATAACCTCCGTTTTTTTCACTTTGCAGGTGAAGATCAGGGAGCGGCCACCTGATCAGCACCCACTCTCGGGCTCGGAGGAGGAGGACAGCGTGGGCCAGACACCAATGAGCGCCCAAGCGCTCCTGGAGGGTCTTCTGGAACTGCTGCTGCCGAGAGAGACAGTGGCTGGGGCCCTGAGGCGTCTCGGAGCCAGAGGAGGAGGCAAAGGGGGCAGCAAGGGGCCTGGGCGGCCCAGTTCCCCCCAGCGCTTGGACCGGCTCTCGGGGTTGGCCGACCAGATGGTGGCCCGGGGCAACCTTGGTGTATATCAGGAGACAAGGGAACGGTTGGCTATGCGTCTGAAGGGGTTGTGTTGCCAGACTCAGGGACCCTCTGACCCCATATCCCCACCTTCTCTGGACATGTTTGCTGAGGAAGTGGCAGAGGAGGAGCTGGAGATCCCAGCCCCTGCCCAGAGAGGTGAGATGGAAGGGCAAAGGTGGGGTCTTGTGGGCAGGGGCAGGGCACTTGAAGCCCAAATGACTTTGCCTGTTATTTTAGACGCAGAGTTGCCAGGAGATGGTCTGGCGGACGTGATGTGGGAGTATAAGTGGGAGAACACGAGGGATGCTGAGCTGTACGGGCCCTTCACCAGCACCCAGATGCAGGTAAACCCCTTTTTGCCTCTTTTCTCCCCTCCCACCTCCCACCGCATCGGTCCTCCCTCAGCTCTGCCCTCTCTTCCTGCAGACCTGGGTGAACGAAGGCTACTTTGCAGATGGTGTGTATTGCCGGAAGCTGGACCCCCCAGGTGGACAGTTCTACAACTCCAAACGTATTGACTTTGACCTCTATACCTGAGCCTGCCGAGGGCCCCATTTGCTGGCCCCTTCTTTCCTGGACTCTGGAGGAGGCCCCAGCTGCCTCAGGCAGTGAAGATATCGGGGGACACTTTTCAGTCAATTTTCCTTTCCCAATAAAACCCTTTAGTTGTGTCTTAGGCCTTGGCTGAGCTGATGGCCAGAAGCCCCACAGCTCCTTTGGACTTGCCTCAGCCCTTGAGTGTTTTCTCATGAAGTTCTTTGGGAGTTTCTGGTCCCTTGAATCATCTTTTGGTATTTACCACTTGGGGCAGAGCCAGGGTCAGAGTCATGTGGTCTGTGGCCTCCCTACCTAGATTCTGCTCATCGTCTTACAATCCCTTCTGTCACATACTATCTCTGGTATCCTCTGGGGGTTCCTGGTTTGCTGTTCTTAGGTCTTTGGCTTTTAGGATCTCAGTCAGCGTGTTGTCGCAGCCAGTACAGGACGGAGCTTCAGAAGTGGCGTTTCAGGCCTCGAAGGGTTGAAGCATCTGTTGGGTGTGAGCAGGAAGCTGGATACTCACTGGCTCCCCAGCTCCCCACTGTCTTCAGGCTCCTTAAGTGAAATGAAACTCAGTGTTGTCACCTGGTCCAGCCATCCATCGACTAGGCACAGAGCAGGGCAGCGTCTCTTTGGAGGGCACACAGTGAGTCAGGGCTGTCCCGGACCCAATGAGCTCCCTTCCCAGACCTTTTTCGGTACTAGGTCTTTTCTGCCTGACTTCTGAGATCCTGAAGCTTAACATTTCCTGGGCTCTCACCCTGTGTCTGGCACAGGGCTAGTCAGTGCCTTGAGGTAACTGGGCAGGTCCCCTTCCAGGAATTCAGAGTTGGGGAGGGTGGCAGAGAAGTGTAATTGTGTAGTATACACCTAACCCCACCCCTGCACACGCACCACCACCACCAGTGCTTCCTGGCACCGCCTCAGCACCCAGGCAGGCTGATAACCCCACTTCCCACCCTAGCTGTCTGCTGGAATCTCAAAGGGAGCTGTGAAATTATCCTCAGATTCAGACTAGATTGGTCTAGGTAGCCTCCTGGTGGTTGGGTCTTTTAAAAGTTCCCAGGGGTTTCCAGTGTATGGCAAGGTGGAGCAGCACTGAGCCTGACCCATGACTGCGTTCACCCTGGGGTGAGGGGCCAGTTTCTGGACCCTGATGATGTAGCAGGGCTCAGGGCTGAGCACGTTTGAGGCCAGAGTGCTGGTGGAGTCTGTCAGTTACAGGGGAGGTAAGCACCAGAGCTGTGGGACCCATGGGTGCCCTGGGGTGTAGGAGCCAGGCCAGGAACTAGGGAAGACAGGCAGGTGTGCCCGATGTCCTAGTGAGGCCTCCAACTTCTGGAAAAATGAGACCCACTCCAGTGCCAGGCCAGACCTGGTTTGCATTGGCTCTAAGATGTTAAGATGACTTGTTTTGTGTCATTAAGAAGGGAAACTGCCAATTATAGTTGTAAGATATCAATTAAAAGGTGCATCCTGGTTTCAGAAATATTCCAAATTGAAAAGCGGGTGTTTTAGGACCAATGAAGTAACTTCACCTTTCTGTCTCCCCTGTGACTGAGTCATGGGAGGTTTAGTGTTTAGCCAGTAGATGGACGCCCAGGGACTGGTCCCTGAATGTGCCCCAGGCACCTGGGCTCCACCTGTCCAAAACTGACCTCTTCCCCTCACAAGCTGCTCCTGTGGCCACCTTCCTGATGACACCTGGTATGGACAGAATAATGGCCCCCCAAAGATGTCCACATCCTCAACCACAGAATTGAATGTGACCCTACGTGGCAAAAGGGACTTTGCGGATGTGAATTAATGATTTTGAAATGAGATTATTCTGGATGATTGAGATGGACCCAAATGTAATCATAAAGACCTTATAATGTGAAGGGGAATCAGGAGGGTCAAGGAGATGGAGCTGAAGGTGTGACATGGCCACTGGCTTTGACGATGGAAGGACCATGTGCCAAGAAATGTGGCCAGCCTACGGAAGCTGGAAAAGGCGAGAAAATGGATTTTCCGGTCTCTGCAAAGAAATGCAGCCCCACTGGCAGGACTTGAGCTCAGTGAAAACCATTCTGGACTGACTGTTAGACCTTAAGATAATAAAATGTGTTGTTTTGAGCTACTGTTTATGGTCATTTGTTAACGCCCCAAGAGGAAACTAACACCCCTCCCAGCGAATGCCTCTCCCTTCATGTATATCGTCACTAAGTTCTTCCTGTGACCATGTCCCTTTCCTATCAGCACTTAAGTGTATTATATTTCACACTAATTTTATAGACTTACAGGAAATGTACAAAAATAGTTCAGGGTTCACTCAGTTTCCCCTTTTAACATCTTTCAGTGGTACATTGGTTGCAACTAATGAACCAACAATGTTTCAACTATTAACTATTTTTAACAGATTTGAGATAGCCACCCACTTAGAGCATTCAATTCAATGGTTTTTAGTATATTCACTGGGTTGTGCAATCATTACAATCTAATTTTAGAACATTTTACCCTAAAAGCAACCCCACCCATTAGTCTCTTCATCACTCCTCACTCCCTCCTCACCCTCCAATCTCTGGAAATCACTAATCTAATACTTCCTGTCTCTAGATTTGCCTATTGACATTTCCTACAAATAGAATCATATAATAATAGGTGGTTTTGTGTCTTACCTGTCTGCTTCTTCCACTTGGCACATTTTCAAGATTCTTCCATGTAACATGTAACAGTGCTTTATTTTTTTTATTGTTGAATAACATTCCATTATACGGTATATTAACTAAACCTCACACTTTACTTGAATTTTACTAATTTTCCCCTAATGTTCTTTCTCTGTTGCAGAATCCCTTCTGAAACCATATTACATTTAGCTGTGATGCCTCTTTAGTTTCCTCTGGTCTGACAGATTCTCAGACTTGTTTTCGCTGACCTGACAGTTCTGAGAAGTACTGGTTAGGGATTTTGTAATACATTCCTAAAATCTGAGCTTCTCTGGCATTTTTCTCATCACTAGGTTCGGTTACAGATTTTAGAGAGGAAGACCACCGAGGTGAAGTTCCTCGCCTTTTACTGAAAACCTGTAATGGCTCCATATTGCCCTCAAGATGAAGTTCACAAGCTTGATGCTGACCAAGAAGGTCTTCCGTAGCCCTGCAGAGCCAGCCCCTTCTGCTGCACATCTGCCCTCATTTCCCTTCTCCCTGCTCTCCCCGCAACTCCAGGCTCCAGCCTGCTCCCAGGAAGACCAGGTAATTTCATTTCTCCAGGCTGGGCCAGTGATACCTTCTGCTCTCTTCTGACTATCTGGGAAAGACCAGCTAATATACCTGTTGTGTCTTAGCTCTAGACCTCCTTTTCCTAACGCCTTCTAACTCCCACTCCCCACTTCCCAGGCTGCTCTGTTGTACCACAGTTCTCCCACGGCGCCCAGCAGAACAGATGTCTGACAGGACACCCAGGGCAGTTTCTCCTTGCCTGTCTCCACCACTTAGCCTGAGACGGGGGCTCAGGGGTGCTGAATGAACAGGGAATGAGCCAATTCTTCCCTGGTCCTGTGTGTCAGGGGGACGGCCTCCTCCTGAGCCAGGCCCAAGAGTGGGGACCTGTGGGGCCATTTGTCTTTGCCCCAAAGGGATGACATATGACCTGGGTGGGCAGTGTATAGGTGTCTAGACCCAAGAGTGTCTCGGAGGCAGGATGGAGGAGTTGTTAGGGTCATTCTAACTCCTGGGGGTGTCACTTAGCCAAGAGCAAATTTACAGGAGGGGTTCAAGGTCAAAGCTGCCGATATCATCACTGCATCCGGGACACCAGACCCTCTGAAACACAGCCTCTTGCCTTGGCAGGCCATTTTCCAGGGATGTAGCAGGAGCGGGGGAAGGGGAGTCTGGGCACCTCTGGTTGAGGGCTGGGGTATCACTGTCCTGGGCATCTGGTGGGTCCTGCGGAGGCCCCCAAAAGGGCTAAGATGGATGAAGGGTCAGGCTCTACAAAGCCTGAGGAGTCTGGGGGAGTCTTAATGCCTCTGACACATATGCCATCCCTTCTAGACCCACCGACTGGCTTGATGCCTCCTTGCACAGTCACTGACCCCCAGGCTCCCAGGCAGTGGGGACCCCTCGCACTGAGCCGCTGGTTTTCTCTTCTGTTCCCAGCCAAAACCCAGCTGGAGCTGCCCAGTTCTTCCTGAGGCTGAGACCCGAGAGGAGTTTATCACTTCCTCCAGGAATTTTTTCCTGACCCCAGATTTGGGTCAGAGCTCCTGTTTCATGATCCCATAGGCCCTTGTGCTTTCTCTTTGTAACCCTTATCCATGGGGCTTCAGTAGGTCCCACGAGAGCTGGAACCATGGGGAGCCTGCCTCCCCAGCACGGAGTGCCATATCTGCCACATAGTAGATGTTCAATAAATATTTGTTGGAAAGGGTTTAGAAAGATGGTCTGAGATGGAGGCCAGGTCTGCTTAGAGCCCCTCAGCCTCAGCATATAGATACTGGCCCAAGGGAGGAAATGGAGAACTGGGTCCAAAGGGACCATGACAAATTGAGAACTGGGACACAAGAGGTCTCAGCCAGACGCCTCCTGTTCTAAATGCCAGGAGCCCAGCCCACGTTG